ACAAATGTCCGCGATCGTGTGGACCTAATGCGCAGCGCATGCATAGTCAATAATCATTCCCCATAAAAAAAGCCTCAAACTCAATGCTTTTCTATGGGGTTTTGAAAATGCTGGATGTACTCATACAAAGTGTGAGGAGGTCCAGCATCGTTTCACAGTCAAACTGCAGGAAGCGCTTTTAGTGGCTGTCTGGTAGACCGTCACTAGAGGCAGTCTTAACACTACAATGCAAATATTGCGCTTTCTCTAAAAGATTAAGGGAACAGGGACACTGCACCCAGACCACTTAAATGAGATATAGTATGGTGCCTATAGTGCCCTTTAAAACCTTCTTATATAAATCTGAATGCTCCTTTTTTTTTTTTTTTTTATGTATTTTTCTCTTCATATATATTTTTACAGAACTAATATTTTCTTTAACATTGTGCAATACCCTTGCTCGCCTATTTTTCTCACCTCCAAAATTTAATATTCTGCACTGTATAGAATATATATTACACTATATTTTGCAACATGTCTCAATATTTAATTAATCCATCCTAGAAAAAGTTTGTAGCGTGTCAACAACAGCAAAAAAGAAATAAAAAATAATCATCCTGCAGAGTGTACACCCTCTATTTGTTTGTTTGCTCAGCAGCAACCAGCAAGTATCTGACCTTGTCAGCCAATCCGTTTTCTGTGTATAGCCCTGATGTTTCCTGTACAAAACATTAAAACATAAACGGTAATGCCAGAAAAACTTGCCAATACTTATACAGAAGTTAATTAATAAAGAAATTCCCGTTGGAATCAGAAGTTGAAACTGAAGGTAAATTAGGATTTTACCTGTAGTCTGGTTTCTTTTAAATTTTTTTTAATTTTGGAAAATGTTCTGCATGTGTATTAAGCAAGGCAAGTTGCCTTACCTTTTAGTTTCAATATGCATAAAGATTGCTCAGGTGTGTGGATTGCCTGTACAAGTTTTTAAGACACTTTGGAAGCATAAGCAAAATGATTTGTGCCAGCTGTTAATAGTTGATGGCTGATGGCACTGACCTCTTCTTGTTCGCTTCACAATTGAAAACTGTAACTTTAAAGGATCACTATAGGGTCAGGAACACAAACATGTATTTCTGACCCTATAGTGTTAAAACCACCATCTGGCCCTCCTGGGCCCTTCATGCCTCCATAAATATAGCAACATTTTACTGTATTCTGCATGCTGTTTGCCTCAGAAAAACAAGCAGTCTGCTGACATAATTAGAAGTGGTAGCCTGATCCAATCACAATGCTTCCCCATAGGATTGACTAAGACTGACAAGGAGGCAGATCAGGGGCAGAGCCAGCACAATTCAAACACAGCCCTGGCCAATCAGCATCTCCTTGATTAATTGAATCAATGAATTTCTATGAGGAAAGTTCAGTGTCTGCATGCAGAGGGAGGAGATACTAAATGTTTGGATGCATTTTAGGCATCCATGACCCAGGAAGGATCTATAACAGCTATCTGAGGAGTGGCCGGTGAAGTTATCACTAGGCTGTAATGTAAACACTGCATTTTCTCTGAAAAGACAGTGTGTACAGCAAAAAGCCTAAATGTAATGATTCCACTCACCAGAACAAATTCAATAAGCTGTAGTTGTGGTGACTATAGTGTCCCTTTACACTTTGCATGAATACTTCCAGGATCTTGTAAAACCCAATAGCAGAGCATTGATTCAATGCTTTTCTATAGGGAGGCTTAATGTATGAGAGCACTTGCCACGCAGGCCAATTAAGTTCTCCCTCGCGATGATGTTTGAGGAGGTCCGCAGGAATCGGGCAAGTGTTTTAAGGCATGGGTAGTCAACCTGGTCCCTACTGCCCACTAGTGGGCGCTCTGGGATTTCAGGTGGGCGGTGGTGGATTCTGCAGAAAATGTTCGCTATGGACCAAGGCCGGCAGGGGAGATCCTTTCATCTCCCCTGCTGGCCTATGCAGAGACCGCCTTGCTGGTGAGGAAAGATCTCCCTCTCTCGGTCTGGTGAGGAAATCAAAGATCTCCTTCACTGGGCCACTGGCACTTAGTTCCAGCAGAGGGAGGAAAGGGCCTGGGAGACTCTGTGATCTTCCCATGAGCAGGTTGGACGGAGCGCTGCCGCGCGTTACCATGTCAACGCTCCAATTCAGCGCTGTGCTCGTAGGAGGACAGGAGAGTCAGCCTGCAGCCGAAGAAGCTGCAGACTAATGTGAACATGCCACCACTGAACCACCAGGGCTTGCAGCGTTATGTCTCCCGCCCCCCTCTGGTAAAAGCTAAGAAAAAGGGAGAGGGAGACATTAAGATAGATTTTCACATCTCACCCACCTACATACAGCATAGACCCTACGCACACTACACCCCTCACACACATACACACACACACACTGCTCCCTTCACACACACTGCACCTCAGACACACACACGGCCACCCTCCCACAACTACAGCACCGTTCAAACTCACACAGCATCTCTCACACATGCACACACTGCACCACTCACACACGCACACACTGCACCACTCACACACGCACACACTGCACCACTCACGCACACACTGCACCACTCACACACACACACTGCACCATTCTCACACACACACACACTGCACCTCTCTCACACACACACACTGCACCTCTCTCACACACACACACTGCACCTCTCTCACACACACATCACCTCACAGACACACATAGAAAAACAATAGAACAGAAAAGAGAAACAGTACGAAATCTCATAACTCCCTACAGCGGAGATAGCTACCCACATGAATACAAGCCTAACTATGTTAACACCCCAAGAAAGGGACCCATAGGCCCCATCGCCAGGAACTAGAACTACCCATTAACTGACCTACTCACCCAAAGCCGTTAACGGTTCTAGCTATCCATGGGAAAGGCATCAGTCATGCGACACACTCCATTGGGGGGGAAGGAAAAAAGGACAAAAAAAATAATAATTTAATCTGTATGTGTCTTACTATATCTTGTTCCTCTAATAATTGCTTAGTGAAAAATACTAACGCAAAAAAACCTACAACACTCGAATATGCGGGACCTGTGTGTCCCATCTTCAAAAACTATGAAATTGCATGTACTATTTGCTATACTTCATGCACAATAAACAGCTTTGAAATCCAGAATGGAAAAGAGAAAAAATTAAAATAAAATAGATAAATTTAAGTACATATGTTTTTTGTTTTCTTTTAAAAACCCTCCTTTCTAAAAAATTTAAAAATTGTTTTAAAAAAAGGTAGAAAAAAAAAATCGCACTTGCGCTATAAAATTAGTTACTGTGGCACTGGTGGGCGTTAAGGAAATTTTACCATCAACAAATATTCAAAAGTGGGCAGTAGGCATTAAAATGTTGACTACCCCTGGTTTAAGGGGTTTTTAACTCTTTGATTGTCACAAAGGGAAGGGGGAGAAACTATAGCATTAGGAGTACAGCTTTATATTCCCAACACTATAGTATTTCTTTAAAGCAGAACTGTCCTTTTCTTTTCCTATTTGCATTCCTGAGATATGACACAAGAAAAGACCAGCATTTACCCATATTTTGCCAAACAGCTGACGTCAAACGCTTCTCCCCAAGAGCGCACATTTTAAGATGCCTTTCATATAATTTTTATTAATGTGAGTAGTGGTCTGGAACGTAGCGAGCATACAGAGGATACTACTGGAACACTGTCTGCATGCTTCTTATGCCCTTAACACAATTTGTGCACTTGCGTAAGGGAACACTGCAATAAGGAACAAAATCAGGATGGCGGTACCAGAGGATATAGTGTGTGTTTGTGGGGGTATTTTATGATTTTTATTTATTTTTTTTGCTCCTAATATTTTTGATATATTTAAATGAACACTGGGCTGTTGGGAATACAACCTGTATTCCTAATGCTATAGTACTCTCCTCTTTATTTCGATTAATGCCTCCCACAGCATCACACCAATGTGTCTAAAATCTAACGCTCCTCATAGCGCTGGCAGTACTATAGGAGGTTAGCTGTGAGAGCAGAGTTTGACCTGGTTCTTACAGCGGAAGCGCCTCTAGTGGATTTAACCCTACAATGTAAACCTTGCTGTTTTTACCAGACTGCAATGCTGTACTTTACAGGGTTAAAACAGAAGGACCACTGCACCCAGACCACTTCATTTAGAAGAGATAGCCTGGGTGCCCTTTAAAGAAAATGTGTATTTTAGGCTCTATTACATCTGTGTCTTTTTCACATTGTGTTTTAATAGTACATTATCTGCGATCATAACTGTGGGGAATGTATTCCAAAATCTTGGATTAGGCACATATGACTAATTGTTGCCATGCTTATTGGTAGCAGATGATACACATGTCTAATGATTTGCGTGCCGCACATGGCGGGTGCTTTTAGTTAAGTGGATTATGCAGAGATGCTATTAACTGTTTTTTTACCACAAAGGAGAAGGTATGGTTTCTGTGTTTGGTGACATATCTGTGCTTTATGCACTCATTTGGTTCTGTAAGAGCAAATGAGAGGCTGAGTAATCTCCATTCACCCCTGATCTGCCTCATAGACAAGAAGCTCAGCCAATTCAATGCTTTCCTATTTGAAAGCATTGTGATTGGCTCAGAACACCACTTCTGTCAGCCAAACAGGCAGATCAGGGGAAGAGCCAGCACATTAAGCTGTAGTTGCTCTGGTGACTATTGTGTCCCTTTATGAATTGTATTTTTATTGTTGAAAATAAAGCTTTGTTCAAAAAAAAATCCTGGCTCCTAAATTTTTCAGCTGGCTCCTAGGTTCAAAGCAAATTTGTCAAGCCCTGCTGCAAAGTACAATATTACATTTTCTGTTTAATTTTGCTATGGGTAATGTGTCATGGCAGTCTACATGGGGTATATATGGATAATATCTTGCTTTCTCTTCTACAGTTTTTATTCTCATTGTCCCTGCCCGTTGCTGCCTAGCTTCACACCTGTTGGCGGCTCTTCATTTTAGGATTAACCCATTTTATTTTTTTATGACAGCTGACACCAAGTGGAAAGGCAGAACTTGCCGGAGTGAGTGTAGGGGACTGGCTATTGCAGATTGATGGTGAGAACACATCAACCATGACTCATATTGAAGCTCAAAACAAGATCCGTGCCTGCAGCAACAAACTGAGTCTTGTCTTAAGCCGGTAAGATGGGATGACTAGTACTGTATTCCATATGTGGAATGTAATGTTTTCTTTTCTTAGGAATTCTTTCCATAAATCCACCTACCTAAATCAATCACTAGTGAACACGCATAAATGGGAACTGCCAATTATCTGGAATTACATCACCGGAAAAAAAACCTTTACACTCACCTATAAATACTTTTTATCGTTTTTTGTTTTATGCTGTCTTGTCTTTTAAATTTATATAAAAGATTTATCATGTGATAGCTTTGTCCAGGCACGGTCAGGGCACAAAATGAGGAGAAAGAGAAATAGTGTTTTATTTCTCCTGTTCTCTGTATGCTTTCTCTCTGCTGACTGCTATGTGCAAAGACATACTATGTGCAACACACACACACACATACCTAAAGGCCGACAGACAATCACAGACACACACACATCGTTGCAGGCAGACAATCACACACACACACACTCGCTCACAATCACCTAGACCTATGGTATGTATCTGTTTCACAGACGCGATCTGCCTATCAGCAGCGCTACGTTGGAGACTCCATGATTGAATCTCAGACTCGCACTGAAGTTTGGGGGCACAGATCCTCAGCACTGGACTGAAGACTGGGGATAAACCATTCATTAACAATTTAACCCCTGAATGAAAGCCAGCGCCATGGACTCTTCGCACCATAGCAACTTCATACCAATGATGGTGTTATGGGGCACAGAGTGACCTTTTAAGCATTTTTATTTTTTTATTTAGTGTACCAGCATATAAACGCATTTCAGCAGGGCCCTCTTCAACTCTTCTTTCTATCTACATTTATTTCATTTATTTGCTGTTTGATATCCCCATTATATAATGTAAAAGTGTAGCGAGTATTTTGGCGCTATATAAATAGACTGTTTTGATCTGTAAGCTTGCATCAAGACAAACTAACACTTTTTTATTTTTTTATTTTGTAGGTTCTCACATAACCTGGCTAATCAACCAAAGGTAAGTTTCTCAAGGGCTCTAAATCTTTAAACATGAATGAATGATACGTGAAATGTAGAGGTACTAGTTTTTGAATGATGGGATTTTTGTACTATTCATCAGCACATGTTTATACGTCATTCCTATTCCCTTTTCATGTTTTCTATGAAAATGTAAGTTCTCTCCTTTATTTGTCCCACCTGTTCTGATCTCAGCAAACTCCCTACATACAGAAGCATTGCCTTTTAATTGGCATTCTCCTACTCCTGGCTGTGGCTACCTTGGCATCAAACCTTTGGGCTTCCCGAGATTTGCATGTTCTCACTCTCTCCCTCCTCCTCCTCCTCCTCTGCTGCATTCCTGGAGCGGCATGTTCTCCGCAGGATAAACAGCCTGGTTTATTCTAAGCGATTGGAATGTCTCTAAATCTCTCAAAGGAATACAGCACTTCAGGAAGACTAATTATCACTCATCTATTAACTGTGCTGTCAAAAGCATGTAACGCAAAACCCAAACTTTCTGATTATTGCTTGAAATACAGACAAATCTCAGATATATCATATCCTTTGTTCCTATTTGACAGTTAACTGCTTTTTCTTTTGAAGTTTATTGCCATTCTACTTTTTCCATGCAAATCCTTTGGGGACTATTCACTACAATTGGGAATTGTGAAGCACTACAAATTAGTGGCCAAAATAACCAAATAGAAAGCATTCTCTAATTATCCTGTGTTTTGTGTGACAGCATTACAGTTTAAAATTATTCATTTTCTTCTAGGTCATTGACATTATGCTGTGACTCGCACAATTCTGTTAAAGGGATACTATAAGCACCAAAATGGCTGACCAAGGTATCAGGTGTAAGACCACCGGTGATCGAATTGAACTTCAGTACATCTTTAGCTAAATGAAGTGGTTTTTGGTGTATAGATCATGCCCCTGAAGTTTCACTGCTCAATCACTCTGCATGTGTGATTAAAGTTCAATCAGCAGTGCAGGAGAAAAAAACTTTTGTAAATATATTTGTATTGGATATTTAAAATTTTTCGGTTTTGATCATGTCATAAGAAAACTTCGGCAAGGACACGCAGGTCCCGTTAATATCGCATTGAAAAAGATGCTGCTCTTGTAGGCATACATTGGTGACACGCAGGTCACATTTAAACGCAAGTAGCATTTATGTGTTGGACTCGCAGGTCCTATGATATATAAACAAACAGTGGGTAGTACTGTCACATGATATATAAAATAAGAGTGTGGACACGCAGGTCCCATTTTCACCCAGGATTAATGACTGTAGCAAGAGGTAGTGGTCACTTTCGTGTTTTTATAGTGGTTCACAGGTCTCTTCTTGGTACAATTAGCAATTATATGGTGGGCCCGCAGGTCCCCGAGCTCTTCAGACGTGGGCATGTACTACCCTCCAGGGGGTTTGGGGTGCGCAGTACTAGTTGCGGTTGTCAGGTCCGTCTGGTATAGTCTCTAAGTCTAGTGGAGTGGTAGAGTCTGTCACTGTAGTGGGGATGATCCCCTGGGACCAGATCTCCATGTATGCTTTGATGGCATTAACTGCCCCCATATGTAGCTCATCTGTCACCCTGGGGACTGTCATTTGGGTGAACCATGTCTGGAGTGGGGGGAATTCTGTTTCCAGTATTGGGGTATAGCCTATTTGGCTATGTGCAGAATTCTTTGTTAGTGTATTTGTACTGTGTTTACGTAGTCACATCATTCAATAGCGGTGAAAAGTATTAACATGTATGGGACACGCAGGTCCCGAAAGAGGTCCCATTTATTAAGGCACACAGGCCTCCATTTCCCTAAATAAACAGTATGGTAGATTCGCAGGTCTCCGTTAGTTAGGCATCTTATCTTTGTAAGGGTTGCGCAGTACCCTATTGATTGCTCAGAGCATGGTTATAGAAACTAGTTTTAAAACCTTGCTGTGTACAGGTGTCTGATAGAGTGTCAGCATTTACAGGTAAGGTTGGCTCTGGTTCGTCGTAAAAGTGCGTTTGAAGGGTAGAGTAAGATGTGTGGCTCATTTCAGGAGTGATGGGTGAGGGATGAAGGATGGGTCGGTTGTCCCTGTCGTGGGTTCTCCTGTGTGTGAGGTGTGGGACTGACTTGAGCATTCTAGCTGTCGTATGGGTCCGCGCTCAAGCTGCGTGCCGTCTACTCCGGTGTCGGGTAGTAGGGCTTTATCACGTCCTCCCTTTGGGCCCGGTATTTGTTAATGTTGGCCCCAGTCACTGAGTTTGTCTGTGAACCCAGCTCCCACCCTTGTCAGTATCCAGTGTGTCCATGTGTCAAGGTATTGTTGTGTTCTGTCCGTAGATTTCATGTGTATGTCTTCAGTCCCCCTTAGGGCCTCCATTTGTGTGAACCACTTGTCTAGTGTAGGTGCGTCCTTGCTCTTCCAGTGTTGTGGGATGAGCTGTTTTGCTACATTAAGTATCCTAATAGTAATTGATCTTTTGTATCTATTACTTGGTGTGGTAGTGTGATGGAGGAGCATTGCAGCAGGGTCAAAGGGGGTGGCTGGTCCGTGAATATCTTTAGCATTTTGTGTATCGCCTGTCAAAAGGGTTGTATATCTGCGCACTCCCACCAAATGTGTAGATACTTCCCCGGCCCTACCCCGCATCTCCAGCACTGTGCTAGGTGGTCTGGGTATATTTTGTGTAAGACGTCTGGGGTGCGGTACCAGAGCGTGAGTAGCTTGTATGCTGTTTCTTGGTGTTTGCTGAATACCGCGCAGTGGTGTGTTAACGAGCACATTTTATCCCATTCCCCTTCGCTAAAGTTGCGGTTCAGGGCCGTCTCCCAGTTTCCCTTGAACCTGGGCGCCTCAGTTGGGACTTGCATCTGTAGTGAGGTATATAAGGTGGATACTCTGTGGGGGAGGGGTTCTAGATCGAGACACAGTTGTTCAAACCCTGTGGGGGCAGGCTTTAGTGCTTGGCCCTGGGGGAGGGTCTTAAGGTAGCTCTTTAGTTGGGCGTATTTGTATACCTGTGCAAAGGTAGTAGGGGATCTGGGATAAGGCCTCTAAACGCTAGGGGGTCGAGTCCTGGTGGAAAGTCCGCGTTGTGTGTCAGGGGGGTCAACGGTGATGGGTATAGGGCAAGGCTGCATTGGTCCACCGTCCCGTGCCACAACTGCAGGGTGGATTTAACGTATACGGGTGTGTTTCCCCGTTTCCCACGTGGTAACCATGGTGCGAGCGTTATGGGGATCCCTAAGTCGGCCTCCTCCACTATCTTCCACAATTTATGGACATTGGATTTTGACCATTCCAAGATTCGTAGGAGGTGTCAAGCGACGTAATATAAATAGAAATCCGGTAGTGCCATACCCCCCTTGTCCTTCAGTTGTGTGAGTTGCGAGAATTTGAGCCTGGGTCTCCTCCTGTTCCATACATACCCCTCTAATACCTTGCGGAGGGATCTAAAGTACGTTTGGGGGATCCATATGAGTATGGCTTGCATCAAATACAGAAGCCGAGGGAGAAAATTCATTTTGACGACCTGGACTCGTCCAAGCCAGGAGACGTGGGGGTATGACCATTCCCCCACGTCCCTCCTGAACGCGGCCAGCATCGGGATGAAGTTTTCTGTAAATAGGTCTGCGCTTCGTTTGGTGAGCCAAATGCCCAGGTATCTAACTTTGGTGTCTGCCCACTGGAATGGTGTGTACCGCCCAGTTCCACCCCCTGGATATCCGGGTTGTGCCTCACCGCATGGAGGAACGGCTCTAGGGCCAGAACGAAAAGCAGTGGTGAGAGGGGACACCCCTGGCGGGTGTCGTTGTGTATAGTGAATTCCTCTGTGAGTGCACCATTAAAAATAACTTGTGCCCTAGGTTGCCTATATAGGTAATTTTGTGCACTTCCCAAATAAGTGTGTGTGAGGTCTGGTCTGGGGTGTTATCTGTAAAGTAGTCTCCCAATATCTTTCCCGTTTCCGTCAGTATCTCTGGGAGAGACAGCATATATTCATTTAGTCTCCATTTGGAGACCTTGGGCCTGTACAGTGGGGACGTTAGAGTAAGAGAGACCGGCGCATGGTCTGACCATGTCGCCGTACCGTGCTCCACCGCCCTCACCAGTGTCAGGTCATAGTGGGTCATAAAGAAGTAATCTAGTCGTGTATATGTGCTTTGTGGGTAGGATGGGAACGTATAATCCCTCTCGTCTGGGTGGTGTGCCCTCCAGCAGTCCAGAAGTTGTAAGCGCCGGAAGAGGGTCTTGATGTGGGTCAAGTGTTGTAGCGGGACCTTTGAGGTCCCTGAGGACGAGTCCCATTTCGGGTCCATAGTCAGGTTAAAGTCCCCCTCCAGGATCAGTATGCCCTCCGTGAAGGATCGTAGTAAGCATAAAGTACGGGTGAGGAACCTGTAGTGCCTTTGGTTGGGAGCGTATATATTAGCAAAGGTATAGGCAGTCTCTGCTATCGTGCCCTTCAGGAACAGGAATCTCCCCTCAGGGTCGGTCACAGTCGCTATTTCTTTGAACGGTACGCGTTTGTGTATTAGGATGGCCACCCCTCTCGATTTGCCCGCACTATAGTCACTGTAGTAGCCCTTAGTATAGTGATGGTCAGTCATTTTGGGTCTAGATCCTTCCCGGAAGTGTGTTTCCTGCACATATACAATAGACGCTCCAGCGCTGTGGAAGTCCCTCGGGGCATGTGAACGTTTCTCAGGTTTATTCTGGCGTTAATGGTGATGATGTGGAGGTTTGCCGGTCGTAGTGACATGGTCGTAGTCAGGGGTGCGGGGAGGGCAGGGGAGGGGGGAAGGTTTGGAGGGGAGGGAAAAGTAGGGTCAATCGGGGGGTGGGGGGGAAGCAGCGCCGGCGAAAGCGCGGTCTAGGTGTGAACATTTAAAACATTCCAAGCATGGGGCTCGTGTCCCCCTCACCTCTTCTCCGTGGGAGCTCGGGCTCCCAGCAGGCCAGGCCGGAGACTGCCCCGGCCCCCCCACGTGCTCACCTGAGTGGGTCGTCAGGCACCCGGGCAGGGCTCAAGTCCCCACACATCTCCCTTCTGGGGATGGGTTCCCCCAGCAATGCACAGTGGTAGTAAACATTAGGCATAACCCATTTGTCTTCATCTCCCTTTAGAGGTACCAGAGTCTCTATGCGGAACCCATCAGGTCTCCACTGGAGCTCGGGCCCCCAGCGGGCCAGGCCGGAGTCGGCCTCCCACGTGCTCTCCTAAGTAAGTCATCACGTGTGGGTCAGGTGTCCGCCCCCGGCCCGGTCAGGGCACAAGCCCCACACATCCCCCCTCCCGGTATGGGTCCCCCAGCAATGCACAGTGACAGTAAACATTAGGCATAGCCCATTTGTCTCCATCTCCCCCCAGAGGCACCAGAGTCTCTATACGGAACCCGGCAGTCCCAGCAGGTAATAAACTTTTTAGGCTAAGCCTGCGTGTGTGGGAGTGGGGTATAATGGCGTCTCCCCTCCCCCCCCATCCAGTTACGGTTCTATGTCTAGCGATGTTAAAGTCCCAGTTAACACAAAACAATTGGGGTTGGGGTTTGTGATACATGCGGGGAGCGGTCTGAGCGGTGTTCTGTGGCTAAATGGCCATCTGGTGCCCCTCCGTTGCTGTCCCCTTTGGGTTGCGGGAGGGTGTTCAGTACTGCCTAAGTGCGGAGCCATGTCCAGGTAGCACAGGTCCAGGCCTCTCACCCCTCTGTCTACATTGCTGTCCCTGACGTTTGCGTGCGGGGTCTTCATTGTCTCTGGGGTTTTTGGAGCAGCGTCTGGGTACCCGTAGCAAACGTGTAGAAGGCCAGGGGTTCCGGCCACTGCATTTGGACCGGCTGGAGCTGCAATTCTTGAGTCTGCTCTGGTAGGTCGTCTGCTCCCTTAACCAGGAAGGGACCTGTCGGTGTAAAGGCTTGCAGACCTGTCGGAAAGTTCCATCGGTACCTTATTTTTTTAGATTGCAGGACTCTTGTAAGCGGGCACATCGCCCGGCGGTAGGCCAACGTGGCCGGGGACAGGTCCGGATAGAGTTGGACCACCACTCCGTTCATGAGGACGTGGTCAGTCTCCCTTGCTCTCTGTAAGATGTCCTCCTTAAGTTGGAAGCTGGCCAGGCAGCAGATGATGTCTTTTGGCGGTGCGCTCTGACAAAGTCGATTTTGGTAGACTCAAGCCTGCCCAGCAGCTTGTTGAAGAGGTCTGAGAGGATCTCTCTCACGGGCTTAATGTTGGCGTTATATTCAGGGATACCCCTTACTCTGATGTTTTGTCTTCTGCCTCTATTATCCAGGTCTTCAATATGGTATGCCATCTGTCTGAGCTGAGCGGATTGCTTGTGCATGGTCGTTATCTGCTTCCAGCTGGGAGACTCTGTGGTGAAGGCCTTGCAGGTCCTCCCTCATGGCGTGCAGTTCTGCTGTGATCGATTTCTGCAGGGCTGCGTTGGCTTCCTTGAGGTCCGTTTTGGTGGGTAAGTTGTTGAGCATCGTCACCCAGTCCGGAGGGGGCTCCACCGTGCCGGTAGCATTGGGCCTGTCCCTCCGGGGAAGCGATAGTGTGCTGTCCGTGGCCAGGGAGTCATTTGAGGCCTGGGACACGAGGTCGGACGGGGTGACCAGGTACTGCCGCATCGAGGGCGCCGGGGACCTCCTCGGGGTGTCTGCGGACTTCACAGCGTGCGTGGCTTTATGTGTTTTCCCCATTGTGCAGATCTGACACGTGGTGCGGCGAGGGAATGTGCAGAGCCAGCGGGGAGCTCCCTCACTATGCTGCCATCATGCTTGGCGTCCAAGCCACGCCCCAAGATAAAAACCTTTAAAGAAAATACATTGTGCTGTCACGTCTGATTTAAAAAATAAAATAAAAATTTTCATGCAGGCTGTGTGATTTACAGTTAGAGGAGGTGTGGCTAGGGCTGCATAAACTGAAACTAAAGTGATTTAACTCCTAAATGGCAGATAATCCATAAGATTGCAGGGGCATGATCTATACACTAAAATGGCTTCATGAAGCTAAAGTTGTTTTGGTGCTAATAGTATCCCTTTAACTGTATTTTTACATTGTGGCATGCATGCTGTAACCTCCACCACTGTGTTTTGTTATTAAACCTAGCCTGTTTACTTGGCACAAAATTGTGTCCTACAATATTAAAAGGGCTTAAACAGTACATTCCTCAATATATTAATCTTGCACGGGTTTCATTTCTTCTGACCTCTGACCCCTCTCCTGCTGGGTAGTGCCTTTAGAATCACAATACAACTTTACCAGCAGGAAATGGTTTAGTTAACAGGTGTGTGTGTGTGTGTGTGTGTGTGCCTGTGTGTGTCTGAGGGTTGACGGGTTGGGCATGGGATGCTCTGTATGGGTGCATGATGCCTGGTTTGTTCCCCTGTGCTCTTCTCCCAAAGGGTTCGATTGCTCCAGAATCCCAAGGAGTGAAGTACAGTTTTGCACCAAGCAATGCCCTCAACAAAACTGCCCGGCCGTTTAATGCCGGTACACCACCTCCAGACAACTCTCGGCCAGGTCAAGTCACCAAGGCAGTGACATACATACCCCCTCCAATGTCCTTTGCTGACAGCCCAACACCCAGATCCCAACAACAGAACGGGTATGTGATTTGATGCTCCTGTGTATGTATGCACTATGGGATAGTGGAGGAACTGTATAGAAGGGTTGCTGTCAGAAAAGTAGTGCAAATATGGTATAATTCATGACTGCGTGCATGTAGAAAAATGTTTCATTAAAGTAGAAAAGTTCTAGTTGTTTTTAGAATAATTAGACGTAAAACATTATTTTTCCATAAAATTAATGTAATATTTCTAATTTCTTTGACTGTAACATAGTATATTAAGAAACATCCAATACCCCAAATGTACATCTGTTAACTAAAATGCAAGATATTGTCTCTATGTGGTTTTTAACAGAGAGGTTAAATAAAAAAAAATATTGCTAAGGCTTATGATTGCTTATATGTGCTCCATTTAGTAACGAACATATTAGCATGACGCGTCTGATCACGTTTCATGGAACTATTATGACATTATTGTGTATTGAACCTGTATAATTAAAGGGAATATCTACGTTCCAAATGTATACTTTGTAAGGGAACTATATAGCGTTAAAAGGATTCTCCAGTGCCAGGAAAACATATTAGATGTCCCTCGGCGCTGCGTCAGGCTCCGCGGCCGTCGGCGTGAGAAACCTATGCGCATGCATGGCAATGCATGCGCATTAGACCTCCCCATAGGAAAGCATTGAATAATGCTTTCAATGCTTTTCTATGGGGATTTCGGCGACGCTGGAGGTCCTCACATAGCGCAAGGGCATCCAGCGTCGTTTTAAACCACTTTTCGTGTTCTATGAACACGGAAGTGTCTTCTAGTGGCTGTCTAGTAGACAGCCACTAGAGGAGGACTTAACCCTGCAATTTAAATATTGCAGTTTATGAAAACTGCAATAATTACACTTGCGAGGTTAAGGGTAGTGGGAGTTGGCACCCAGACCACACCAATGGGCAGAAGTGGTCTGGGTGCCTGGAGTATGCCTTTAAGAATACTAACATACAGTGTTACCCTATCTGTGAGGGTTTAAAAGTTAGTCTTTACTTCCTTGCTGAGCTGGTGTCGCTGCTGCCGCCCCACCTCTCTAGCTGAGATCATTAGGACTGATTATCTTGGCTAATTCAGTGCTTTCTCATAGGTAAGCATTGGGAGGCTAGTGAAAAATTATGTGCTGTGCCAATCAGGTAATCTCTGAGTGGCATTTTATTGAATACCCAAGTCTGGGTTATTTAGTTGGAGTAACTTTAGTATCTGTCATGAAGACCGTCTCAATGTATTTAGCCCTGCAATCACAACGTTGCCGTTTCTATTTACCCTTTTAAGGACGGCAGGCGTTCTATGTCGTCCTTTTTGGGGTGGCTCTAAATACCGGAGGGCTCCGTAGAACGTCCCTGCTGTCCTTCATACTCATCGGGTCCCCACCGATCCCACGTTGGTGGTCGCGATCCTGGGGTCTGCCTGGGAGCTCAGGCAGACCACCTCAGCCTGATCCAGCCGTCCCAGGCCATGTGATCGCCGGATCCTTGGGAGACTTCACTGTACACAAATATTAGTGTTTCAAAACAGTAAAACATATCACGACGATGATATTGTCAGGGAAAGTGGCACTTTCACTGACAATATAATTGTTGTGATACGTTTTGCTGTTTTGAAACACTAATATTTGTGTTCATCGAAGTCTCATGAGTATAACAGTAGCCCCCCATGTACAGGTTTTATAGTGTTTTCAAAAGTTACAGCGTCAAATATACGGCTTGCATTTCCATTTTTTCACATTGAAATTTGCCAGATTGATTATGTTGCCTTGGAGACCGTATGGTAGCCCAGGAATGAGAATTACCCCCATGATGGCATACCATTTGCAAAAGTAGAAAACGCAAGGTATTGCAAATGGGGTATGTCCAGTTTTTTTTAGTAGCCACTTAGTCACAAACACTGGACAAAATTAGCGTTCAAATAATTTTTTTGCCTTTTTCACACACAAACAAATAAGAACTGGTTGAATAGACATATAGTGCCAATTCCAGGTTTTGTTTTGATCAGAACTTGCAGAACTGCCTCAGTCCATAATGGGTTAAACCGCAGTTATTTTACATTGCAGGGTTAAAATTAAAGGGGCCACTACATCCAGATCATTTCATTGAGATAAAGTGGTCTGTGGATGCTTACTGCTCCTTTTGATTAAAACAATATATGCAATGAAAACTTGTATGCATTTTAGGGCTCTGACTAATACATTAAGTGATATTCATAATGTTGAATACGGCACTATGTAAGAAATCTAAACAATTTTTTGTTTTGGTTTTGTTTATTCTTTTATTGTCCAGTTCAGTGTTCTGCTGTTTTTGTTGGAATAGACGTTTGCGATATGCGTTGTTGTTTTTATATATATAAAATTTATTTTTTTAAATGTCACTTCAACTGTTTTTTTGTGTGTTTATAAATTTTATCCTGCTGAACTCTCAATCAGTGCTTGATTTATTTTTAACAAGATGTGAACGTAATTCACATATTTATTAAAGATGGAAATCTTTGTTCTAAAAAAAGAATGTTATACACCTCTCCTACTTCTCTAACTGGCCAAGAACCTTGTGTGTGTTTGGCAAAAAGCGCAGCAGTAGTGTTGGTGCCTGCCAAAGGTTTTCTCACGTAGATACGTGCTTTGGTGTTCTACTTTGAACTGCACAGCTTTCTGAAAATAGCTGAACGATAAATCCAAGTGGGGGATGAATAATTCTCTCCGAGAATGCATAAGGATTGATTAAAACGTTTCAACCACTTCCTAGTCTGGTTGCAACTTTGTGTAGAAGATTGTGGGTCTTTAAAAAAGATTTTTTTATGAATTGCTTATGAATTTGTTCCTCTCTACCTCATATAAAACATTACAATCTGGAAAACCTTTTTGAAAGTCTGGTCGTCAGATGTTTTTTGGGGAATTTTGAGTTTTCTATTACATCATGGATTTCTGTGTGCAATTAGATAATAATGCACCCTAGGGATTTATGTTTTGATTATTCTCTATTAAATACATGTTGCTTTCAGCAGCTCGGTTAGGGCTTCTCTTTCCCGTTTACCAGTGTGCTGGCATGGGTTTGTAATGTGGAAAAAGTAAAATAAGCCCTGCTGGGAACACAAATCTGTGTGCAAGTCTATCCAAGGCAGGGCACCAAGTGTGATGTGTTTTTTTTGTTTGTTTTTTTATAAAAACCTGATTTATTATTGGTATTTATATAGCGCCAACTAATTCCACAGTGCTTTACAATATTATGAAAGGGGGAGAAATTTACAATATATGAGACAATTACACAGTGACACAGGAACAATAGATAGATGAGGCTACAGATTGTAGCTGGGCAGTACAGCTTTTGGGGAGACCAACTAAGAGAGAATTACAGTAATCCACGCTGAGAGCATGAACAACTCCTTGGCAGCATCTTGCATGAGAAAGGGGCGAATGCGGGCGATATTTTTAAGGTGGAATCGACCAGTTTTAGCAACATGCTGGATAAGATAGCACCAAGACAAAGAGCTTGCAAGGATGGACTGATGCAAGCACCATCAACTTGCAGGGAGAGCGAAAGAGGAGGATCAGCATTATGAGGGGGAAAAACAAGAAGCTCAGTTTTAGAGAGATTGAGTTTCAGAAAGCGAGAGGAAATCCAATCAGAAATAGAAGAAAGACAAGCAGTGACACGTTTGCAGGACCACAGGGACGAGATCAGGGGAGGAGAGATATATATCTGGGTGTCGTTGGTATACAGATGGTAGCGGAATACAAAGGAGGTAATGCGTTTGCCAAGAGAGGCAGTATAAAGAGAACAGAAGGGGACCAAGAACAGATCCTTGGGGGACTCCAACCGAGACAGCGCGAGAGGAGGAGGTGTCATTGCAAAAGGAGACACTGAACGAATGTTGGGAGAGATAGGAGGAGAACCACGAGAGGACAGTGTCACAGAGGCCGAGGAATTGAAGAGTTTGGAGGAGGAGGACATGATCAACAGTGTCAAAGGCAGCAGAGAGGTCAAAAAGAATTAGTATGGAGTAGTGGCCTTTGGATTTAGCTGTGATTAGGTAATACGAGTAAAGACAAGTCTTTTTAGAAGTTTTGAGTAAAAAAGAAGCAAGGATATGGGACAATAGTTGGAAGGGGAAGACTGGTCTAGGGATGGCTTTTTTAGGATGGGTACGACAGTAGCATGCTTAAGGGGAGCAGGGACAGCACCAGATGAAAGAGAGCAGTTTAGAATGTGTGTTAAGGATTAATAGCTACAAGAAAGCCACTTTGAGTTAACATACAGAGAATGATAAATGTGATCCATGACGGCAAGATAACCTTGAAAATTTGCTTGGGATAATTCAAGAGGAACTCAACAGGAACAATCAGATTACAAGTATTTATACAGATTGGAATTGCAGAAATGAACCCTGGAGTGGGTGCACTGTTTAAATTTTATTTTACCTTTACCCCTCAATCGGTGTGATCCACTTAAAAGGACAACTGTTACCTGATTATTATTCTAAGAGTTCTTGCAGCATGTAATGAAAAGATATAGCATTTAAACAAACAAAAAAAAAAGGTATATGTAAAATTATCTGAAAATCTGACCCCTACTTTTACAGAACTCTAGATTCCTCCTTAGTACTCCTTTGGTCGGACTGAGGTTAAATCCGACTGTTAGACTGCTGCTTAACTCCCTGCACAGAGCAGTGATGTCATCAGCCATTGTCCGGAGTGCTCTGCCTGGTCCAAATTCCAACCACACTGACAATTCTCCTATTCACTAAAGTCAAATACGCTCAGAATTCGGTCGGTCTGACACTCTGTAAAATTGGTTCAGATGAGGAAATCACTGTTTTTCTGAACTCATTTGAATATACAGCAGCAGAAACGCAAATGATCATTTACCTGCTAAATACCATATCTTTTTCATTACTGCTGCTATAAAAAAAAAAAAAAATTATGGTGGCAGTTGTGTTTAACTACATTTGGTGTCACTGCTGTGCAGCATGATTGTTTACTTATCAAATGCCAGCAAATACCAGAGAGTCTGCCCAATGCAATGGGGTTAAAAATAACCTGCTACACATTATATAAAGTTAAAGGTCTTGCTTGTTTTAAATGCCAAACTTAAAGTAAATGTGTCCAAGACCTAATTAAAAGAAAGAACCTTGACCGTTATAATATTCTTTTAATTGTTTACTAAATTTTGATTTAAAGAGAATTGTTGACTAAATATCCTGATTTTAATACGGCCACGTATTGCCAAGTACCCAGGTGAATTAGTCAGTTTATTTAATTAATAAACTTTTTCAGGAACGCAGATTTCTGTTCTAGCACATTCATATTCATCCTTTTTAAGGTTGTAAAACTTTGTGCTATTAAGTTACAATTCAAATGAAAATCCTGTTGCTGCCTTAGTTGTATAAAACAAGCAGGTATATACTGTCAAGTGATCGCTGATAAAGATGCACGTTCTTCCCAACCAATCCATTTTGGATGCTGGAAATGTGCGTTGGTAAAGTGAAGTCTGCGCAGATCTTCTATTGCCATGGAATTAGAGGGGATAACAGTTCAGAATTGTGTCCAATTTCATAATAAACCTATATCTTACTGCATGTAGGAATGGGTTACTAGCACTGACCTAATAAACACTTCTAATTAGTATTATACATGTGCAGGCTAATTAATGAATTAAAGATTGTTATAATGTAGTATGAAGACATCCACCAATAAACCTCAAACCCTAGTAAGATTGATGTTGCAAGTTTTTAAATTTCACCATGTGTTTGAACCATTTTCTCCTTCCTTAAGAAGAAGTGTGTGCAATTCCATTTGTTGCCACCTGGTGGTGATGTCTACACATTTAAATTTTAACTTGTTCTGTGGGTGGGGATGTTGGTGTAGGTCGGGATTCACACATAGGTGTATAAAAACAATGACACTAAATATATCTTGCTTCTCAGGAAGGAGCAACCAGGGTAGAGGAGTGCATCAGGCATTTTGTTTATATATTTGTGTATGATGTGTGTTTATCATAATTGTTAACTGTGCTAAGCTCCATGCACACTCTACATATCTGATAGAGAAGGTGGAGTATGCAAGCAGCGTTGTGAATTTTATGATTTCAATTTCCTTTAAATGTTCAGTTTGTTTACGATAACATGAAAACCAGATAAGCGCTAATCTCTCTAATCAATTGCTGGTTGCGTCTACCTTGCTTGGCTTATACAGACAATTGCTTTCTTCTTACTGGTAGATGTGTCAATTCAACAAAATAAGATATCCTGATTTCAGTCTCTGAGGGACAATGGTTTTAGAATGTATCTCTATTCTAACTTATATAGGTTCATTACAATCTTTGTCGTTTTTTTTGTATCTTTATTTTGATGTAACCCGTGAACTAGATGTTGTGAAATGTTATTCTGTAGGACATGCAAAACAAAATGCAATCAAGGCAGCTCGTTTTGTTCAATTTTTTTTGTTTCATATTATGCTGAGAATCAAAGTTTTAATTTGTAAAATGTGATTATGATGCCTGTTGTGATTTAGAGTCAAAGCAGATTAATCTTTTTTAAAACCTCTTTATCTTGCCTCTTTATTTTTGCCTAAAATGCACTTTTTACTATGAACATTATTTGATGCTTTTTACTCCAACCCCCCTTTCCCCTTATCATTCTAAAAGCTTTTTTAGAGTTGGATTCTTGCCAAATAATTTTTGGCAGCCAATATCTCTGAAGACAGACTATATGACCTCTTCTTCCCTACGAAACTGAAAAAATAAGACTGGATATTTCTTTTAGCCAAAGAATGTTTAGACAAAGGCTCCTTTAGAATTCTCCACCTTCCCTTTTGGCCCAATTTCGAGGCCAACCCCTAGTCCTCTATTACATTGCAGCATACATTCTCCACTCCCTCGCTGTATGTTTTAACACATTATCACTATGTTGTTAACATACATTTATTGTGTGTTCAAAATGAACTCATCGTACATTTGATACCCATGTCTAGCCTGAACAGTGAGGGGGTGAGGCTGTTGATTTGAAGCTAGCGGGTTTCAGCAGTTGGATGTTGGAAGCTGTCTTGTTTACTGTTGGAATTGTACTGTAACTAGACCTCTTGCCCCTCCTCTTGATGTACTTAACTGTGCGTTGGACTTGGTGGGGGTTCAGGGCAACCAAGCTGGCAGAGCCTTACTAGGGCTGAAGTAACTTGACCTGAGGCTATATTGAGGCTGCCAGCATAAGCAATTTTCACCAGAGGCTTTGCACATACAGGAGCTGCTAACATCTACTCTGTGTCCACTCAGGTATTTGGGGTTTTCATAAAAACGAAAGGGTCCAAATTTCCCCTATTAATTGACATTAAGCTGAAAGACTTCTTAATTGAGAGGCCTCTGTAGATCTAAACACTCCTTGTAATGCTATTGGGATGTATTGTGTGGCTTTCAGGGCATATTGAGCCATATGTCTTTAGCATCAATGATCAGACTTTTTTCGGAAAAAAAATTCATAGAACATCTGGTATCTTGGGCTTGTTTTGGTGTATGAGATTGTTGGTAGAATATGCAATGTATTAACATTTCATCAAGCATGTGTATTTCACAGGTTGTTGGTATTTTGCCTTTTTTAAAATTTTTTACTTGGGGGGAGATTTTTTTTTAAAGTGTTGCTATTGGAAAACTGGGGAAACATTCTAAAATTTGAGAAACCTTGGAAACCAAGTGAATCTGTAGGAACATTCCACTTGTTTCCATGGTGATTGCGCCTCTTAGATGTTGCCCTTGCTTTTCTCGTAATGCCACGTTCAGATCTCCCCCAACGTGATTGGCATGAATGATGGATTTTTACATGAGTGATTTTGGAAATGTGTCTGATTGGGTTTTGCTGTTGTTATTTAACAGTGTCCCGAGAATGTAAACTGTGATTCATTCAGTTGAGATACAGTGAAAAAAGATAATCTGTCTTGATTTGTTTTTCCAAATTACTTATGGGGGAGGTTGGGCTAATCTCTAAAAAAAAATTCTATCCTGTGACTGTACATTATGTCTGCTTAATGCTATCTTTTCTCTTTCACCCCTTTCCTCTGTCCCTTGTCTTTTTCTCGCAGGTGGAAAACATAGAAAAGTCAGTAAGCATTATTTGTCTTTGTGTCTTTTAAGTATTAATGGCATTGTTTATTTATAAACTTAGGCTTTTTATCCAATATCCACTGTCTACCACACCATTTGTGATACCAGATAAATGCATTGTGGCTGATGTCTGAGTATATAACCAGAGTCTTGCATGTTAGTGTAATTCCTTTGTGATCTAGAGCACAGATAATGGCTCCTCTATGTATTAAATATGTTCCGCTCTCGCAGGGTTCACGTGTACCCAAAAGAGCAGAAGTCATCAGGGGCCCTAAACGGACTAACCCAATCATCTCTCAACGCTTTTTTGTTGGACGATAAGTAAGTCAGTTTTAATCTTGTTTTTTTGGGGGGGTAACTTAGACTGCAATCTACATTAGTAACCCGGACCCTTCCACCCATCCCCACCTTGCCGTATACTAGACACTCTCTTAGGATGGATAGTCAACCAGCCATTCTTCCCAATGACTCCAGCAAAAAGAGGCTGGTAGAGGACACTGAGGACTGGCAGCCTCGGACAGGCACCACGCAGTCCCGTTCTTTCCGCATCTTGGCACAGCTCACTGGCACGGACTTCAGTAAGTTGGCCTGCATGTGTGTTCTGAAATGACCATAGCTGTGCCATCTAGCATGTCTAGATTGTAAATTTCATATTACTCTGCAGTCAAAGCATGACAAAAATTGTATAAAATACAAAATATATATAATAAAACCAAATCATTACTTTATCAACTGGTTATATTTTTTAAATTCTAGATAAGATTTGGTTAACCTGCATCATCATAGTGGCTTCTCTTCTATAGAATCACTCATTCAAATTGGACTTTCTGCAACAAAATTGCACCAAATATCGAAGTTCTAGATATCCAACCCTGATGGTAGTTGACTCCAGGAATGTTTTTCTACATCAATAGAGATCCTTAAATCTAGATTCCTTTCGTTTTGTTGTATTGTTATGTCTTCAGCACTTCTGACAAACGCACTGCAGCAGTGGCATTTGTCTAGAACCTCTTGAATATTATCACCCATTAAAAGTGACACAAGCTTTCTAAAAGCTAGAGTTGGCATCTCATTGATGTCTCATCCTTGGCAAGAAGGGATCGATGCCTCCCCCACATGCAGCAGTGCCCATTGATTCTGCAGAGTTGTGATAAGCACAACCCTTGTGATGCAGGTGTTTGTTTTACCTACCTGTCACATTTATTTTGGTCTAATAGAATGATGTGTGTGACAATAGACAAAATAATTACGGAGAACTACTTAGACAATGTCCTATGCCTGTTAGAACTGACAGCTTCTGGCAGAGGCATTGAACCTGTATTTCATTGTTCATTTTGTTTGTAATAAACAGAGCTGATCTTCCATGTCTTACTTTAAATAGATATGGCAAATCTTTTTCTGTCCCGACCATAGTAAGGACTGATGTATATTTAATTCAAACTTCTATATTTAATAATACCGTATGTATTAGTTTCCGATATAAATTCTCTTTCCTAGCCTCCAAGAACAGCACCCCTGGCCTCGTAATTTTAGTCGCAAGAAGCAGGGTGCAGATGTATTTGGTAAATACGGAGAGGCATTGTAATCAAATTCTCTCTTGCACTTATGTCTTGATTTGTTGCAGCTCATTGTAGGTTCAAAAAGCTCCAAAAACCATAACTACTTATGCATTTTGCTTAAATTATAGCCCGAGGAAGTTCTCCGTCCTTGTCTAATTTAAAAATTGTGTTCATAACTGTAGGGGTTTGCAAACATTGATGTAGCAAGAAGCCCACCCATAATCATTTGCTTGCTGCAGCAGAGCTGAAGTGAATATCTCAAAAAATACACTGATGGATCTTGTAAGCACTCTCATTGAGAACTTTTCAGCCACTTCCTGGTCTGGAGATAGCTTGTTGCAGAAGTGGCAAATCCTGCATTTTTTATGCTGGTCTCCACGTTTTATTTTATTTTATTTTTTTCATTTTTTTATTTACATTTGCATATTTTAGTCAACTAAAAATGGCCATCAATCCCAACTTGTACTTTTCATTATTTGAAGGCTATATCAGCAGGAGTCTGTAGGAGTAACTTATGTTACAGACAGGTTATTAGAGGCCCCTGGTCCTCGTGTATGAGTTTTGTGTGACAGTAGATGTCTCAAAACCACCTGACCATTCTAATGCCACTGATTATAAAAATTAAGAATCATTCACCCCCCAAAACTCTTGGTTCTAATTGTCTCCCTCACAAAAACCATGTGTCCAAAAGTTTCCACAGACTCCACTTCATTTGACTTTACTTTGGAGTCTGTGGTATAAACCCAATGCACTGGTTCCCTGCTTATAGAGGAGACCAAACCCTGCTAAATATAGTCCTCTAGTTTCTAATTTGTTCTCTACCACTGAGAGCAGAACATCCTTCATTCCTAACGCCTCTTATATTGAACCAGTTCATCTGTCTCCACTTTGTTGTTTATCTAGCTTGCGGCAGGCGTGCCCCCCACCTAATGCAGTGCAATCCTTAAAATCCTTAAATGATGGACCACTCAATGCCATTTTCAATGGCAGGCCCCATGCCTTGTCCCATCTTCTTACTCCTAGCATTCACCTTCTCTTCAGATCTTTCTGTCTTGTTTTCTTGTTTATACTAGTAATCTGCTCTCATGTTCGTTCTTTCCTTTCTCTCCACCTTTCTCATGATTCTTGCTACTCACAGTGCAAGACCCAGATGATGAGAACATGAAGCGGGTGAGGTAAGGAACTGTCACTTACAAGGTGTATTGTTGGGAACACGTCTGTAAAATATACAACCACAATTCACTATTAACCACCTATAAGACTTTTAGGAGTCATCTCAAATTACTACATTCTAGACCAGAGGTATATTAAAAGTGTTTTTGAAGGTTTTGTTTTCTTCCAGGATTTAATGTTTTTCATTCAACCAATTTATGTTTAGATGATACTACATCTGGTTTACTTTCACATTCATGACTCTTGAGCACAGACTAAGTTGCCTAAACAATTCTAATTAGATACCCCTGGTTGAATTTGAGGGTACCCTAAAAAAAAAAAAATATATATATATATATTTATTTATTGCTGTAGACAACAAAAAAAACTCACTAAAATATATAACATAGCAAAGTGTACCTGATTTCTAGGAGAAGCGTGCAGACATTGGATTTGGCTGGCTTGTCGGACCTACTCCATCATGAAGAAAGATCACCTCGGTAATGATATATAACGTCTAGTCAAAAGCTGACACCGCTGAAATGTTTTGTTCCTCACAGGCACTTCTTCAGAGACTTTCTTCATGATGGTGGAGTTCCGACAATCCATTCAAGCCCAGTGTCCTAAAAATTTAGATACGATTTTTGGGGCATGTTACTACTTTTCTTATTGGGCAACAACTTTAACTTCTTAACGTCTGCCACTATCACTGCTTGTGAAACCCAAAAATAATTAACACAGGACAGCATCCCATTTAACACTAAACAGAACTGCTTGTTATTACATGTGAAATATAAGTCACACATGTGAAGGCAACTAGGAAAAACGTGGACTAGTTTAGCTAAACCATATTCATTACAAACCAAGAGTTTAAAAAAAAATATGGAACACGAGTCCCAGAGCATAGGGCCTATAAATAACCCCTGTCAGGCGCATATGCTAATGGGAGCAGAGACAGGTTTTAACCTCACTTAGAATGCCTGCTATCCCGAAAAGAATTGAGTTATTAAAACGGTGCGCTGTGTTTTTACTTTACTTACCAGTAAACGGAGCAGCTGCAACTAATGTAAGCTGCAGTGAATGATGGAATTCATATATTAGTTGCCTTGAGCCAGCAGCTAACCGTCATACAGCACTGCCGAGCACCATTCCCCTGTGTCTGAATGACTGGCATATCATTTAAATACACTGGCCTAGATTTACAGCGCTGAAAGACAATATTCCGTCCAAATTGAATAAATGTTTAAAAAGAAAATACATCAGACCTGCTTTGGAATAAAACTGTCTAAATATATCCATATGACATGATTTAGGGGTTTACGTGGTATGCAGTGCACACTGGTGAATGGACAAAAACATTTTAATTGTAAAATGTCGTTAAAAATAGAAATATTGGGGAAAATGCTAGTTTATTCTAAGTTTTGCGATATGCTTGGCCAGTGAAATATTATTTATTGAACATAGAATTTAAAGAGAACTTATCATAAAAATAAATGGCAGACAAAAATCTTTTTTACCGTGGTAATCAGATTATTCCATATCTGAAAAATATGTAGTTTTGGCTCTCTTTAACAACCCCCACCCTGTCTCTGCGTACAGGCTACTTATTCAGTGAATTTACAATGCTTTCAGGGTAGGGTTGGATTGACATCTCAGGTGCCTTTAGGCGCAGAATTTTCATACCCTCCTCTCCATCCAAAAAAAACAAACCTAAAAATATTGCTATGTTACTTGTATCATGATTTGAAGGATACACAAAATAGTCAGGAGGTACATCTCTCCCATCCCTGCAAATATAAGAAGAATCCAATTATAGTGTAAAATAAAAAAGGACATAATATATCTCAAATTAATAAATACAGATTTATACTCTGGGTAGGTGTCCTTTGTAGATGGATACCTGTCGGTAGCTGTCTACTGGCAAATCCACTAAGCCAGGAATTCTTTACCAACATAGCAAAGTTTGTCAAATAGCCGAGTTGGTTATTCCCATACCAGCTCTTTAAACAAACAACTGAATTATATTGAAAACTTTTTTTTTTCTTTTAATAGAGTTTAATTGCTTGCTTAGTAATATGGGACATGCATTTAGGAACAAAGAGGTTTGTTTTCACATTGATTTTTCTTTTGAGATCTCTGTATCAATAGACTATTTGTTGTGGTGCAAAACAGGAGCAGTCTAGGCACTATAACCACAAAATGCTGATGTAGTGGTTATCATGCTATTCGGTCACAGATGTTTCATGATCCTTGGTTAAACTATTCTGATCTGACCAAAACCAGGACCCCTTAGGCAACTACAGCTAGCAACCACTTGCCGATAATGCTAATGAGGTTTCACTATCCATCCGCAACATTAATTCCATCATCTGACCTGCTCAGCCAATGAATGGCTTTAAAATATGGATAACTTTTAAGTGGAACTTTCACATTGGCAATTCCGGTAAGCAGTGGCTGAGCAACAAATGTCTTGGATACACCTGATTTTGGTATAACGTATCAAAAAGTGTTTGACCAAGTACTGGTGGATTGAGCCCGCAGTCTAATGGCTCAATAACCACTTAATCAGTGTGGATTTGGTGCCTAGACTGCTTATTTTAAAGGAACACTCAATAACATAACCACCACAGCATATTCTAGTATTTACAATGCAATAAGTCTTTTGGTGCAGTCACTCAGTTTATTTTTTTTGATTTTTTTACTTCCTCATTATCCGTGCAGATTTAAACAGCAATGAAGTATTATAGAGAATCTCAGTACAGCATTCATAGATGTTCAATATGTGGTATGATAATGCAGTGTGTGCCCACTCCGTTTAAACATTTGTAGGATTAATGAGGATGTGAAGTGTGTCATGCATGAGAGTGGGCTGTTTTTTGTCAAACCACCTGAGAACCGTTTTCTTAAAAAAAACAAGGGAATGTACCCAAAGACTTGTTTCATAACCACTACAAAAAAACAGCTAACCTTTTCAGCATATACTATCTATGCATGTTTAAAGTTCTCCTGTTTCGTTTTCAACTAAATTCTTCCTGTTCTTTTCTTTTTATTTTCCTTTCCTTTTGCCTGTCCTATCTTCCATTGACCACCTCCTCCAAAACCACAGGGAAAAGTTCATCACAGAGCTCCAGAGCCCCCGATACACCCGCCTGCGTGACTGGCACCACGAGAGATCAGCCTGCTCCCTCAATGTGAAACCCTGAGCACCAGAAACAGGAGCAGGAGGAAGGGGGGTTGGCCAAGTTGGGTGGAAGTACATTAGGGAAACATCACAGGAGTTAATGTGATCATGTATTATACTTGTTGATTTTCCAGTGTGTTCCATTTGATCAGATCATACTCTAACCCTTTCCTTAAATTTCTGTTTTCCTCTCAATGTCTACTAGCTTAGTCTAATAAATGTTTAAGTGCCAGAGACACGAGCAGCACTTTGCTCTAAGTGTCCTTCGCACCTAGACCCATCACCCCACATACCGTGCTGAAGATCTTTTATTTATTCCACATTCTCAGTGTTAAAGACCTATTTAACATGGGCTATGTGCATTGGTTATACCAGACCGCATGTCTAAATCTCCTCTGCAGTGAAGCCTTTGTAGAAGAAACTCCCACATATCCCGTTAAGGGGGAGACTAACGCAATGCTGCTGTATATAATATAATTAATTTGGGACGCACAAACACAGAGGTTTGGGAGAGCATCATTTTATTCTTTTTTTTTTTTTTTTCAGTGGGTTGAAGGCGTCTATTCGGTACCATGAAATAGCCCAGTGTAATATAAAATGTAACTGACATCTCCCATATGGCAAATACACCTTGATTGCTTTGTACCATGTAAATTATCTTCTGCTCTTTGCTTTTCTCTTCTTGTTCCAATTGACTGTGAGATGTAACCTAACTGGCGTTAGATCAGCTTTAAAACCACTGCCCCCTCCTAATCCAATTGTAAAAAAACTGCTACTGTCTAGTCCCCCCCTCCTTTTTGTGGGTTAACATGGGGAGCACATTGTATATGTTTCACAAAAGCATGGTCCGTGTTAGGCAAAGACAACAGATGTTTTTAGAATGCATGGGGTCAGGGCTCTGCTTTTAGCTGAAAGCGTAAAACCTATTCACAATAAACGTATTTCACGTATGTGTATCAGTGGAATTATTCATGTTATTTTTTATAACAAAGTATTTGAAACCATTTTCAGTCTAGCATGTGTCCACAATCTATTTTGAGCATTTGACATTTCTTGTCCTCTTGGCAGTCTCACCCATGCCGACTCTGTGCAAACATGAAATATTCTATTTATTAAGCATCAAAATCATTATGTAATCATGCTGCAACTGAATAAATTGGACTTGCCAGCATAGGATCTTTAAGAACTATATTGTTATGTTGCTACAGATTGGTCTTTTAATACTGCTCACCTTACTTTTTTAAGAAAAATACACCTACAATTATGCCTTTTCACAATGTAGATGATGGGTGACCTGGCATGGCTGCTTATGTAGAACAGTACTAAGAAAACTTGGGTTATTCACAAAATGTTGGGAATCCACCTTGAATTTCACATTTTTGCCGAGCTGAGAACATAGCATACTTCGAGAATGTTTTCAATTTGGCTATTTTCACTATAAATTTGGAATTCACTTTCACTTTAGTTAAAACCATGACCGTATTTGCAACAAAGGTTTTTCAATTAAAGTAGTTTATTATAGACGAGTTTGTATCCAGACCACTGGAACTCCTTAGGAGGGGCTAGAGATGATCTTGAATATTAATGATCTTTTTTGGCATCGCTACAGGTACGTCATGGTCAAACTTGGGTTAAACTTGTGTGCACTGGTAATCATAGACGCGCAACTAGATGACCATGAAGTACGATGACCACTTACATGGTTTGCAAACTCTGGGGCATGCACACAATCTACTCTGACTTGGTAATTTTCCCCCAAAAAGCCAGTTGGAGACACATTTTGGAATCTACTAGATTTAGAGAGGCTGGATGCCTAAAAGTGTAGCTAACACGGACTGTTCCAGTTTTTCTAGAGTTTTTCATAGATCATTTTTGATCTTTAAACTTTGGGATTATTGAGAGTGCAGATCCATCGAACTAGTTCTGTGTTTTGCGCTTGATTGTATCACCATGGCAACAAAGACTAGGGATGCATACCGTATCCTTCTGGTACAGGAAAAGAAGATACAAGATATGGGCCAAACTTGGACAGACGGGATTGGGGAAATATATATATTAAAATAATAAATCCTAATGCTTTTTTGAGGAAATATTATATACAATTTTAACATTTTTATATAAACAAATATTTATCCTTTAAGAAATGTATTTCTTTACAAACACATTTTTATGCAGTGATGTCATAAGCGATGTGTTTACCAAAATATTATACCTACCCAGTTCTGCAAATGCCCCCTCCTACAGTAGTTACATTGATCAAGGTAAAAATAGAGTGATTGTGGGATACAAACTCCTAAATTTACAGTAGTCCTAGAAACCGTATGTATCTGTCTGTGTGAATTGCTCAAAATGTATCCCTTTATTGCAGTTTTACTATGGTTTTTTTTTTTTTTTTTATACATCTTCTATATGAAATAATAATTGTACTTACTCCAGAGTTACAGTTGTCATTTATTTCCATTTTACACATGGCATCTCCAACGGAATAGTCTGAGAGGAAAATACATAAATAAACAAAGGAAGTATGCCTTCTCTGAAAAATTATCTGTTAAATAATATATATATATATATATTTTTTTTTTTTTAATTACCTATTTTCCCATGTGCTGCTCCTTTTTCAATTAAAATGTTAAAGATTTAACAAGTGACATCACAATCCTTTTCAGTCGGGGAAAACTGCAAAGGCAAGCATGGTTTGAGTTTCGTCTCTAACACAGTATTCACTGGCAGAATAGAGCAACATAGCAATGATTGACAGGGAGACAAAATGGAGGCACTCAGTTCCAGGATAGATGTGTGGATTTCTACGATTAATAATTTTTTTTTCTAAAATCTCGCTGATTCTTATTTGCTAAATATAGGAGACATTAACTTAAAATCAAAGGAAGTCTCCGTTCCCTTTTACCATCACTCTTTGTAAGACACAATACACTGGAAAGAGCGGTAACACGTCCTACTTGCCCTTCCTACAGGGTGTTGGGTAAGGAATCAATAAGTGTCGGTGCCAGTGGGTCTATGAGCACATACATCAAACTCCGATTGCTATTGGTATGTCAGTTATACTAACTCTTAATTTAACTGTTCGAGTGTCAGAGGTAACACACCCCTTTGGCAACCACTGTTTAAGAATGATTAATGGAAGGAATGTAAACTTGACCTAGTTTGAAGAGCTAATGTTGCTTTGGCCTAGTTTCCCCTAAAGCAGACATTAAAAGAACCATTGTCATCAAGACTCTGCTATAACACCACGTTACCCAATAGCAAATTCGCAATGATCTTGTATAATAGTTAAAATGATAAAACTTTTCTTTTTGGTATTATATGGGTTTGTATTGTAATGTCCTTCATGATAGATTTTAGACTCTTTAAAGGGGAACAGTCACTACCCAGGGTTTTAAATATTTGGTTTACTTGTCCCCATGTATTAAGCAAATTGGTGTTTTTTAAAAACAAAATTAAATGAGAAATCCTCACTGCTGCATTTAGCTCTATCCTCTAACAGGGAGCGTCCATCTAATTTCCCTTTTAATCATTAGGATTCGTTACTAAATTCTGAATTGTAGAGAATGGAAATCCAAATGGCAACATTCAAGGTGAAGACTTTTATTCAAATGAGCTAGTTTACCTACATTTTGCAGTTCTGATTTTAATTTGGTACAATTTGGAATTTTAGTGAATAAATAAATGCTTCCACAGGGCTGGGTCCACATGCGGGACAAAAATACCAGTACTTGATTCTTCGGTTAAAAGATTTCCTTTATTAAGCACAAAGTATTACATTGAAGCTCAGTGTCCAGAGGGCGGCACAAAGGCGGGAGGTGCTAACGCGTTTCCTGCCTTACAAGGCTCTTGCTCAGAGACAAAATTGTGTCCCGTTTGTTTGGAATTTAAGTGAATAAGCCTGTGTTTATTTTCTTCTTCTCATATTGTGTGCTCTGCGTTTGCCTGAAGCAAACAGTAGAGTAATGTCCCTTGAAAGAAAATGGAGCAGCACATAAGAAAAGGTTATAGGTGATTTTGAATGTTTTATTCAATCGTGTTATTTCTACCTCCCCTTTAAGCAGTGCAGACTTAGAGAAAGTGCTATCTATTTACATCCTCTGAAGGTATCTATGCAACAACCAGATACATTTTATCTCAGAATAACAGCCCTGGTGAATGTTTTGTGGCATGACCTTGCTGGCTGAACGATGATTGCGCCGGGTATCCTTACAGGGATACTAGAGTCACCCAGACCACTTCAGCTAAATGAAGTGGTCTGCGTGCCAGGTCCCTCAGGTTTTAATCCTTCACATGTAAACATAGCAGATTCAGAGAAACTGCTATGTTTACATAGTGGGGTTAATCCAACCTCTAGTGGCTGTCTTCCTGACAGCCGCAAGAGGCGCTTCTGCGACGCTGGATGCAAAATTCGCATCCAGCGTGCAGAACGTCCATAGGAAAGAATGAGAAAGGAGGAGAGGTCACCAGAGCCGAGGGAGCCCGACCCTGGATAAAGGTAAGCTGCTTGAAGGGGCACCACGGGAGGGGGACTCTGAGGATGAGGGTCCCCCAAGGATGACATAGTGTCAGGAAAATGGGTTTGTTTTCCAAACACTATAGTGATCCTTTAAGCACTTCAATGTTGGACTACATTTCCAGTGTAGCTCAGGTAGCAACACTGAGCTAGTACAAGGAGAATGTTGGATTTGACTAGTGATTATGGTACTAGGACTACCTTAAGGGGTGGTATTATATTTTTACTTTATACCCAACACAAATGTCTTTTGCACCTGAATCGAAACTCACACAACATATGTTCAGTGAAACTCAAAACAACTAAAGAATACATAAGGATACACTTGAGTGACCCTGCAAGTTAATAATTCCTTCTGATTCCTGCCCACAAATATAGATGGTACAAAAACTTGGATGAGAGGAAGGAGCTTGACCCCCTGGCAAGTAACCCTAATCTGTACCTCCCAACATTTCAAATGGACAAAGCGAGACACTTTAAAGGGATTCTTTAGTCATATTGAAGTCGTCTGGATGCAGTGTCCTTGTCCTCTTAACCCTGCAATGTAAAGCATTGCAGTTTTTGAGTTTAACATTGCAGGGTTAAATCCACCTCTAGTGGCTGTCAGTATGCCGATATCCCTTGACCAAACCGTTAAAGTCACTTAGCACCAACGAGACTGCCAATCAGCAGGCTGCGTCTTATTGGTAGTCATTTTTTTGGGTGCAAAGGTTTCACTCCTAAACGTAAACCCTTCCTACAATTGGCACATGCCATATAAGCATTCTCTTTCATTAAAGACTCACTATAGGGTCAGGAAAACAAACCTGTATTCCTGACCCAGTAGTGAATATCCACCATTTAGGTGGCTTGCCCTCCCCTTACCCCCCTCAGAATGGATTAAAACTGCCCCTCCCTTTTAGTGACATAATCAAAATTGCTGATTTTTAGCCAATCCAAGGCTTTCCCATGTGAAAGCCTTGGATTGGCTAAAATCATTGAGGGTGCGGGGCCAAACGCCGTTTTGGCCAATTGGCACCTCCTCATAGAGATGCATCTCTGTGAGGAAAATTCAGCGTCTCCATGCAGAGCGTGAGGATGCTGAATGGCAGGGCTGCTTACTGTGCAGCCCTGAGCCAGGAAGCCCCTCCAGTGGCCATCTAAGGAGTAGCCACTTAGAGGTGTCCCTAGGGGCAATGTAAACACTGCCTTTTTTCTGAAAAGACAGTGTTTACATGAAAATGCCTGAAGGCAGCCCTTATACTCACCAGAACATTAAGCTTTAGTTGTTCTGGTGACTATAGTGTCTCTTTAAATATAGCCCCTCTTTCCTTCTTAAAGTTCTATTTTGCACTAATTGTGTCGAATTAAGTATCCAATTTATTAGTGATGACATGAATCCAGAGCAAGGGGAGAGGGGGCTTTATAGTGTAAATGTCACAATCTCTTATTTTATTGTCATCTCTTCCATTTAAAGTGTTCACACAATGCCACAGCGATCCATGACATTCTTTATCTATTACCGATGACGATACCTGACCTGTATATAATTAAATCCTGAAATTCTCAAAAGCTCAAAGCTCTTAGAAAGATGTATGCTTTTTATTTATTTTTTTGTTATGGCAAATTGGCGTTTTGAACATTTCCATTGTTCTTTTTTTAGTTCTAAAGACTGAATCCTGAATAGCCTTATATGGGCATTGCAGAGAGAAGTATGGTTCTGAGCTGGCTTGCTTGGAACCACACAGAGAGTTTGCTACTGGTAGAATAAGGGGGGCGGAAACCTAGCATGGTATTATATTGTACTGAAGGAAGGGGCGCCATATCCAGAAATCTAAATTCATTATTAGTTGACTGCGTAATAATTCCATAGCGAGTCCTAAAGAAAAGCAGCAGGCAGCAAAAAGAGGCATTGTGCTTTTTCTGTTCAGGGTACATGGTGTAAAAAGCCTATTGTTAAATGATTAATACTTTTGCTGCAATATAGAACAAAATTAGCCAGGCCAAGAAGGGGTTAAACCGACAGAACCATTTTCTTTCCCTTCCCCACCTCTATATTAAATGGGCATGGGAGCTGTACAAGTAGAATTATTAATGCATACGGGAGTCTGTCCAGAATCCAAATGTGAGGAAGAATTCTCCTTTCAGTGTGCAGCCCAAGGCAGCTGGTACAAAGTGAAGGCTGGGAGCAGAAGGCTTTGTGCTACATCCTCCCTCTGACAAGTAATCCCGTGTCTGCCCCCACACTCCTGACCAAGGACAGGACAGATGTTGCACAGATGTTGGCTGATTAGGAGGCAGACTGCTGGCCACGTATCCCTTACTCTGCCAGTGAATTGAAAGGACCAAAGTAAAGACCCCACTGCTACCTTATTTATTTATTACTGGCATTTATAAGTCGTCAACATATTCCGCAGCGCTGTACAATTGGGGAAAGCAAACGGTAAAATATACACAGACAAATGAAAAAGTAAAGAGGGCCCTGGGAATTAGCCATTGAAGTTTATACAAAGTACTTCGTTAGACAGCCCTTGAGCTTATAATGTGTATTTGAGACCAGAGGAAGCAGGGGGACTTAAAATAAGTACCTTCCTGAACACAACAAAAAATATTTTTCAGATCAACCGTAACCTCAAATGTGTAGGCTGAGGAATAATTTAAGATTCCTGCGTGTTTAATAGTTGGTGTTTTTGTGTATTACGTGTGTGTGTGTGTACACGTGTATATACACATACATGTATGTGGGTGTGATCATTTGCAGTGTTTTATTGACATTTCTCAGTTCATTAATGGCAGTGACGTCTCCCAATTAGCGCCTTACGTTCCATAGAAAATTTTCTTTGAATAGATCAAATCATGAATGTATTTAATCCCTTGTGTGGCAGTGTCTATAGATAATAATTGGGTACAAAAGTAATTTATACAGCTTAAAATGAAGCAGCCTGTGGATTACTGATTTAACGCATATATTTAAAAAGTCTTCAGTTCCCTCATTTATTGATTTTACATTTTTTAAAGGGACACTTGAAACCTGGACCCTGCATTTGTTTGTGGCAATGCAAACCATTGACATTTCTGACAGACCGATAGCCAGTAGATGCACCTCCTCATTGAAGACTTGTAATTACTGAAGGTCTGGACAGCATGAAGCCGCAGAGTGATTGGATTGCTTCTCACAGAGAAGTTTCTCTATGTGAAACACCCTTAGAGTGAAGACATCCATTTGGGGGCTGTGTATAAAACAATTCTGGGGCAAAGTTTACTATTATTCTTTAAACCACTTTGAATATTTCCCTTAATTTTTTAAATACATTTGTTAACATATCACTGTGACCACTCTGCCCTCTCTTACACACGCCTTCACAGACCCCAATTTCTGGAAGCCATAGCTGAACTTGCTACAGTTCCCCCAGGGCTCTAGCATGCGTTAAAACATACTTGTTCTTTATATATAATACTGAACCTGTGCAGGAAGAGCTGCCTCTGGCTGGATATTTATAAGTAAGACTATAATATATTTTAAATAAAGGATTGTTGTATTGTAAACGCTTGTTGCACTATATGCTTCAGTCATGGATGGTGTACGAGTTACATGGAACATGTGTTTTCCTCTGTTAATATGTTCTGCATCAGCGTTTTTATCATTACAATTTGTTTAGAACGTCCAATCTCTCTGGGCTGTAGATGAATTGACAAATCACATTTATCCAGCCAACACTTATATTAATGAGTATGAAGTAGACTGTATGACTGCTCTATTTCGAAATCTCCTGAGTCATCACGTAAGGCTAGCTATAGTTCATCTAAATCATGGGTGGTCCAACTTCAGTGACGTGGGATCTACCACCTAAGCAGCACAGGAATGTTTCTGCCACCATAACCACTGCAGGGCACAGTTCTCTGTAATGGTTATGGTGCTAGGAGTGCTCTGAGACTGCCCCATGGTAAGCAGTGAACCTTTTCAGTAGTTTGACAACTTACCTCGTTCCCCATGCACCACAGCTCCCACATCTCATTTATAGCCCACATTTCATCGTCGTTTGCTCTCTTCTAAAATCCTTCATCCCATTTAATCTCCAGGGGACTATTTTTATTTTATTCAAGGGAATAAAAGAGCAGTTACAAATTCCATGTTGTTGTTGTTTTTATCATTATTGGTATTTATATACAGGGAGTGCAGAATTATTAGGCAAGTTGTATTTTTGAGGATTAATTTTATTATTGAACAACAACCATGTTCTCAATGAACCCAAAAAACTCATTAATATCAAAGCTGAATATTTTTGGAAGTAGTTTTTAGTTTGTTTTTAGTTATAGCTATGTTAGGGGGATATCTGTGTGTGCAGGTGACTATTACTGTGCATAATTATTAGGCAACTTAACAAAAAACAAATATATACCCATTTCAATTATTTATTATTACCAGTGAAACCAATATAACATCTCAACATTCACAAATATACATTTCTGACATTCAAAAACAAAACAAAAACAAATCAGTGACCAATATAGCCACCTTTCTTTGCAAGGACACTCAAAAGCCTGCCATCCATGGATTCTGTCAGTGTTTTGATCTGTTCACCATCAACATTGCGTGCAGCAGCAACCACAGCCTCCCAGACACTGTTCAGAGAGGTGTACTGTTTTCCCTCCTTGTAAATCTCACATTTGATGATGGACCACAGGTTCTCAATGGGGTTCAGATCAGGTGAACAAGGAGGCCATGTCATTAGATTTTCTTCTTTTATACCCTTTCTTGCCAGCCACGCTGTGGAGTACTTGGACGCGTGTGATGGAGCATTGTCCTGCATGAAAATCATGTTTTTCTTGAAGGATGCAGACTTCTTCCTGTACCACTGCTTGAAGAAGGTGTCTTCCAGGAACTGGCAGTAGGACTGGGAGTTGAGCTTGACTCCATCCTCAACCCGAAAAGGCCCCACAAGCTCATCTTTGATGATACCAGCCCAAACCAGTACTCCACCTCCACCTTGCTGGCGTCTGAGTCGGACTGGAGCTCTCTGCCCTTTACCAATCCAGCCACGGGCCCATCCATCTGGCCCATCAAGACTCACTCTCATTTCATCAGTCCATAAAACCTTAGAAAAATCAGTCTTGAGATATTTCTTGGCCCAGTCTTGACGTTTCAGCTTGTGTGTCTTGTTCAGTGGTGGTCGTCTTTCAGCCTTTCTTACCTTGGCCATGTCTCTGAGTATTGCACACCTTGTGCTTTTGGGCACTCCAGTGATGTTGCAGCTCTGAAATATGGCCAAACTGGTGGCAAGTGGCATCGTGGCAGCTGCACGCTTGACTTTTCTCAGTTCATGGGCAGTTATTTTGCGCCTTGGTTTTTCCACACGCTTCTTGCGACCCTGTTGACTATTTTGAATGAAACGCTTGATTGTTCGATGATCACGCTTCAGAAGCTTTGCAATTTTAAGAGTGCTGCATCCCTCTGCAAGATATCTCACTATTTTTGACTTTTCTGAGCCTGTCAAGTCCTTCTTTTGACCCATTTTGCCAAAGGAAAGGAAGTTGCCTAATAATTATGCACACCTGATATAGGGTGTTGATGTCATTAGACCACACCCCTTCTCATTACAGAGATGCACATCACCTAATATGCTTAATTGGTAGTAGGCTTTCGAGCCTATACAGCTTGGAGTAAGACAACATGCATAAAGAGAATGATGTGGTCAAAATACTCATTTGCCTAATAATTCTGCACTCCCTGTAGTGGCAAATTATTTCGTATATTGAGGGGGAAAGTTAACAATAAATGAGACAATTAGAAAATGTTAGAGGAACTATAGGTAGATGATGACCCTGCTCATAGAACCTCAGCCGCTACTCAATCTCTTCTTCCGTTACCTGCTTTCTAGCCAAGTGTCATCCCAGAGAAGTGGCTGCACTGCTCTTATGCCACAACGTAATATCACTGAATCTCTTCCACTGGAGAGAGGAGACAGATGCCCGACCTATTTGCTAATGCACATGCTGTATGCATACACTGGACAGCTCTAACATGGCATAGGACAAAATAAAAAAAACAACTATTCTGATCTTCTCATTTTAAAAGGCACATATATGCCTTGAAGTTGATTTTCTCAGCCAATTCAGTTTACCCCAGTTTCAAAAATGTATTTAAAATAAGGAAGGTGACCTTCTTCTTAAAATACATCAGAAGAGGCGACTAGGCTTAAGGTGATTGGGGGACCTAGGTGTCAAAACTTATTTAACTAATACCTGTGGGGCCATGCAAGGGGACTCATGTGACCATGACGATTACCGTGCTCTGTAGTGGTTATGGTGCATAGACTGACCCTTTAAATCCCTGAAGTTCAGATTTTCGGGAGAACCAAGTTTAAAATCATTTGATTTCACAATGTTCCCTGGCAAATTGATAGGTTTGCACCCATAATAGTCCAGGCATTCAATATGTATCTTATGGAGGAAAATTAACTGGTCACGGTAATTTTCCTATTGTTTGTGGTTTTTATTTCCTCAATTTTATGTTTCTAAAGACATATTCTGCAGCACGGTGAATAGAATTGATGCATTAAACATATAGCTGATAAACAACAAATGTAGGCTTTTCTGACCATTCTGATGTTAAAGTGCAATTGCAGATTGCTCACTGCTGGAGGGGATGTACTGAGCCCTCTAGGCATAAAAGATAAATAATCAAGTATGCACTTTGTACTGATGTCTGCATGACCCTGTGCAGCAACATGTAAACTGTAATTGGATTATGGAATTGATTGATGGCATGTATGAGCCATGTTTGGCTGTGACACAAACAGTGTGAAAGTATTCCTTTAAATTCTTGCTCTCTTTACATTTTAATTTGTTTGGTTACTTTATTAATTGAAGTAGAGAAAGGCAAAATAAAATTGGTATCAATTAGGAAATATGAGTTTATACAGCTACAAAAAATAAATATATAATATGCACCAGGCAAATAGTGGGGCAGGGGGGAATGCGGGGGTTAATAAGTCTACTTAGATTTAGGGTATTGATGTGTGTTTGTCTTTGATTGCTAAAGATGTTCGCTTTAACATTTCAGATCAATTAGAGGGTTAAAAATATCCAAGGAACGGACCAGTGACATTTTTTTCTTCACTGTTTAAAAGATATATGCCCCCAAAGAAAAGATGCATGCATGTCTTTTCTGCATGTTTTTTTTTGTGGGTCTATGAAAACACAGTTTGCAGAAACTGCAGATCTGCCGTCTGCAGCCTTTGCAAACTTCCCTTTTATCAAACCTTTAATCTCTGTTGATTTACAAGTGACAGCTGTAGGATTCAGGAATCGTCTCGCTCATCGCAAAATGCAATCTAGTGTTGTGCTGTCACACATGCACAAGATTGCAGCACTTTATGGCACCTGGCAGATGTAGCAACAGTCGCTGAAGAAGTTCTATAGGAAAAAGTTGGTGACGGACGCAAGGAACAACTTCAGATATGTAAACCTACGTTACACTGCACCCCACAGCCACAGGACCCTAGCCGGAGATGCCAAAATTGTGTTATTTTCTTAAAGCAGATTTGTCATTTTTAGGAGTATTTACCTGACACCTGAAAGTGGATAGACTTTCATATTAAAGCATTTTGCTAAATTTGGATGTTTACTACATGTCATAATTATTTGAAAAGCATGATCTCCATAGACATACCTGCACTACTCTGCGCTCGTACCGTAATACCACTTGTAGATCACTACCATATGTTCTTGGTGCACAGTTTTTGTCTCTATACCAGACAATACATATGATTCCTACGTTCCAGGAATATTCATGTCTATAGGCACATAAAGTAATATGTGATAAAGTGAGTCAGGCACCCCACTGGACTATCAGGGACTCAGGACCCCCAATAGACCACCAGGCAGAGTTAACCTCTGCTTGACCAGCAGGGAATATGACCCCTCCATGGGGATCATTGCCTCCCTCCCTTGAAGAAAGCCAAGTAGTAGGGGGCTACACAGAGCATGACCACACAAATAATGTACAGTCAGCACACACATACAGCTTGAATTTTTGAGCTGATTTTATGGTAACGTTATCTTAAAGATGGATGTCAGATGTTTGGGCATGGGGTGTGGGGGACGTATTTGCAGTGCTTGCCATGGGTGCTTTCTTAAGTAGATACACCTCTGCTTATCTGTGATGCTGCTATACTGCATAGCCGAGTAGAATCTGCTGAATATAATATCACTTATATTAATATAATTATCCCTTGGCAGATAGTATATTTTAGAATATTGCTGTAGGGTTATTAGCTGTGTCTTGCATTATTTAGTTTGTCAGTTTGGTCTCCTAAGACTTGGAACCAAACTGATTTTTATCTGGATCTCTTACAGGCCTGGCCAAGTCTCATTAGACAGATTTCTAATTAATAGGCCTGGATCAAGAAGCTCACTCAGTGATGTCGGAAGCAAATTTTCTACAATCGTGTATTTCTGTGGTTCAGCTTGGGCGACCGTCATTGATCATCGACTCTCATAGTCTGGAAACTAGACTTAGGCATTTGGGGTTTTTTTGTTTGGTTTTTTTAAATTCTTTATTTTTCATTTTTGGTGCATGGTATTTAAGTTTCACAAACAGGTAGGCATTTGTTTTTGGACAAACACGTTTTCGTCCAAATTTTCTGCAAATGCAAATTACAGGGAGTGCAGAATTATTAGGCAAATGAGTATTTTGACCACATCATCCTCTTTATGCATGTTGTCTTACTCCAAGCTGTATAGGCTCGAAAGCCTACTACCAATTAAGCATATTAGGTGATGTGCATCTCTGTAATGAGAAGGGGTGTGGTCTAATGACATCAACACCCTATATCAGGTGTGCATAATTATTAGTCAACTTCCTTTCCTTTGGCAAAATGGGTCAAAAGAAGGACTTGACAGGCTCAGAAAAGTCAAAAATAGTGAGATATCTTGCAGAGGGATGCAGCACTCTTAAAATTGCAAAGCTTCTGAAGCGTGATCATCGAACAATCAAGCGTTTCATTCAAAATAGTCAACAGGGTCGCAAGAAGCGTGTGGAAAAACCAAGGCGCAAAATAACTGCCCATGAACTGAGAAAAGTCAAGCGTGCAGCTGCCACGATGCCACTTGCCACCAGTTTGGCCATATTTCAGAGCTGCAACATCACTGGAGTGCCCAAAAGCACAAGGTGTGCAATACTCAGAGACATGGCCAAGGTAAGAAAGGCTGAAAGACGACCACCACTGAACAAGACACACAAGCTGAAACGTCAAGACTGGGCCAAGAAATATCTCAAGACTGATTTTTCTAAGGTATTATGGACTGATGAAATGAGAGTGAGTCTTGATGGGCCAGATGGATGGGCCCGTGGCTGGATTGGTAAAGGGCAGAGAGCTCCAGTCCGACTCAGACGCCAGCAAGGTGGAGGTGGAGTACTGGTTTGGGCTGGTATCATCAAAGATGAGCTTGTGGGGCCTTTTCGGGTTGAGGATGGAGTCAAGCTCAACTCCCAGTCCTACTGCCAGTTCCTGGAAGACACCTTCTTCAAGCAGTGGTACAGGAAGAAGTCTGCATCCTTCAAGAAAAACATGATTTTCATGCAGGACAATGCTCCATCACACGCGTCCAAGTACTCCACAGCGTGGCTGGCAAGAAAGGGTATAAAGAAGAAAATCTAATGACATGGCCTCCTTGTTCACCTGATCTGAACCCCATTGAGAACCTGTGGTCCATCATCAAATGTGAGATTTACAAGGAGGGAAAACAGTACACCTCTCTGAACAGTGTCTGGGAGGCTGTGGTTGCTGCTGCACGCAATGTTGATGGTGAACAGATCAAAACACTGACAGAATCCATGGATGGCAGGCTTTTGAGTGTCCTTGCAAAGAAAGGTGGCTATATTGGTCACTGATTTGTTTTTGTTTTGTTTTTGAATGTCAGAAATGTATATTTGTGAATGTTGAGATGTTATATTGGTTTCACTGGTAATAATAAATAATTGAAATGGGTATATATTTGTTTTTTGTTAAGTTGCCTAATAATTATGCACAGTAATAGTCACCTGCACACACAGATATCCCCCTAACATAGCTATAACTAAAAACAAACTAAAAACTACTTCCAAAAATATTCAGCTTTGATATTAATGAGTTTTTTGGGTTCATTGAGAACATGGTTGTTGTTCAATAATAAAATTAATCCTCAAAAATACAACTTGCCTAATAATTCTGCACTCCCTGTAAATGAATGAATGAAAGATTTTTAATAATTTAAAAATAATAAAGGCTTTCCTACACTGTGCAATTTATGTCCTAGAGCGGTTATTGGTTGCTCTGACAGGTAAATCTTGAGACATCAGAGTGCTTGATAAAGACCATTGCAGTGGTCAAAATGTTGCTTTTTTACACTAGGGAAACCTGAATAAAGGGACACTACTTTTAAAAGGAAGTGCTGGTATTTATTGTGAGCTACCAAATATATACTGAGCAGAACCGGATTCCTTGCACCCTTGAGTGGTGGGTTAGTGCAGTTCTTATTTCTTATTTTAGAAGGAAAAAAACAAACAAGTCATCTAGTGTTCTTAATCCTTATGTGGGATTGCATAGGGATACCAAAAAGGAGCTATCTACTTATTAACTCCACAATTTGTTACCTTTAAATATGGTAATACCACAGGAGTTATCTACTATAAACAGCTGCAAGATTCAGCATGGATTGGAAATGAATTCATCCAAATTAAATTCTGATATGAAAATAATGTCTGAACTTCGTCTGGAAACAAAGATAATGTTTTTATTAGAAAAACTACATTTTGGAGGCGCCCAAGTCTACTGGCAACTGAAGCACCAGGAGCTGAAGTTGGACTGCAGGAAGAAGATAGATGCCGTTGTGAAGGACAACTTGAGGTAAGTAAAAACTTTCCTTCCTCTGCACCCTATAGCCACCAAATCCACCATAGTCTATTAAAATTCTGTGGAGGTGGTGGTACACCGACCAGTGCTAGTTCATGGACTGGCAATCATGGACCTGCATTTTTCTCCTACAAAAGGGAAGGACTGCACTCTCTCAACCAGCCCAGGGGGTGTCGAGGTTATTTTACCAGATTCTGAGTTGGATAAAGCGATACATTTCTGCTCTTTAACATCAGAAAGCTTGAAGTTTGTGAAGTGCTCCTCTACTAACAGTTTGTCCTGAGGCCATGAGCAAAGGATGCTGATTTCTGGTTTAATGTCAGTGCCATCATATCAGCCATGCCTGTCAAAAGTTATGGTGGCCCAATCACACCCATAAACCGTTTTTCTTTCATATGGTCTACTAATAATACATGAAAAATCAGTGGTTTCTGACAACATAATTCAGCTGGTACTGAAATTTTTGTGACTTAGACAGAATACCAGGAAGGTAATTCCATGTTGCCAAAATGTTTTAAGGTGAACCGCTGAATATGTATGTCCTCTAGCTTCTAAATTCTACAGAACATTTTCTACACTGAACATGTATTTCAATTTCTATATTTCAATATACCTGCCTGGAACTCATCATGCACATTCCAATAATATCCCCACTAGCTCTAGAAAGTCCTTATATTTCCTGCCTAAACCACGAACAGGATATAAATATTAATATTTACGGTACTGGCAACCAGACCGAAAAAATTCTCGCACATATTGCTGGTTATTATGGGATGGGAGAGGGCTAGGCAGTTGTATAAAAGTAAGTTGTTCATTATTTTCTTTGAACTCTTTAAAACAATTACTGGCTCTGTGTAATTTCTAAAGTTTGGTTCTGAGACATCTGGCACAGAATTTGTAAAGGAACACTACCTGAATACAAACTTGTATTGCTAACACTATTGTGTCACTGTCCCTAATTTATAAGATGCCCCTTCCCCACCTTCCAGTGACTAAAGGGTAAAAACCCTATTTTACTTACCTTAATTCCAGTGACAAGGCTTCCTGGGTGTTGGTTAGGTCTTCTCCTCTTGCCTCCGATCACTGAAATTGTGAGACCTAATGCACATGCACTTAAGCTTCTCTATAGGAAAGCATTGAATCCGTGCCTTCATATGGTGAGTTTGAAGACCAAGTGTGAGGAAGTCCAGCGTAGTTTCACAAGGTAAAACTCAGAAAGGGAGCAGGAAGCACCTCTACTGTCTGTCTGGAAGACAGCTTTGGACTGAACTCTGCAATGTAAACATTGCAGTTTCTCAGAAATGTCTATATTTTACATTGCAAGGTTAAACACAAAGGGGCACTGCACCCGGACCACTCAATGAGATGAAGTAGTCTTGGTGCCTTTAGAGACCCTTTAAGGACCAGAATGTGATTTCATTATAGAAGGTTATTGCTCCTTAAGGGCTTTAAGAGACACTGTAGGCACCATAACCGCTTTGTCTCATGAAAGTGATTATGGCGTCTAGATACTACTGTCGCTGTCCTTCCATTCAGCAATACAGTTTTTAATGTTTTGGTACTAAACAGAAGTCCCCAGAAACTCACCAACTCTGTGCTGCTTGGACTAATAAGGAAGCATTCGCCTGAGTAGCAATGGATGGCTGTGATTGGCTGAGAGTGTCATTACAGCTATGAATCAGTATAGCTACAAGGAAGTGTGTACTTTCTCCCTTAGCCACACCTCCAGTGGGGGTAGTACTATTGGAAGCCAGGCTTGAAAACGATTTAGCACTGAATGAAAAGCACAGTGCCAGGGGCATATTTTTTCACAGTGAGAAGCGCCTTTAGTGGCTGTCAGTGAGACAGCCACTAGAGGCTGGATTAACCCTTATGTAAACATAGCAGTTTCTCTGAAAACTGGAATGGAAAACTTGCTGTTTGATTCATCCAAAGTATAAACAAAATGGCGCTGTCAAAAGCAGTGGGTAGACAAATATTATAGAACACCTAATGACTGACTAGATCAAGGTGAAATATATATATATATATATATATATATATATGTATATATGTATGGATAGATAGCCTGGCTACCCAAATTTTGGGTTTGTGTGATTTATGTGCTCTTATAGTTTTTAATAAAAAAAACTAAATATAATTTGCACTGCTTCCATTGGAGAATGTTTCATTAATTGCTTTCCTTATCAAAAAAATAAAACCAAAACAAATAATGATGAGAGCTTTTTTAGAGCTTTTCAGCACTAATTATTCTCATCAGGTGCACTGTAAGTCATGTGTAAATGTGCCATACGGACACATGATGTATATGAACATATATGATGTATCTGAATATAAAGTCAGTGGGTAAATTGGGAATTTAAAACAAAATTCTAATTTTAAGCCAACTATTTTTATCTAAAATTTTAAATCTCTTTCAGTCTGAAACAATTCATACTTTAAGGGACTTTATGGGCATCCCGACTATATCATCCCATTGAAGTGGTCTGGGTCCAATGGTCCTATAATTTTAGCTCTGCAATGTAAAACATTAGAAAAAAAGTTAATAAACTATATCTAAACAGACTGATAACTTGTTCTTTGTGTAACTATCTTTATATACATATAGGAGATATTGTTCTTTAAGGATTGTTCTAGTTCTCTGGCAGCACCCTTTAGGATGTTCAATAAATAGGCCTTGTAAGTGTAGATTTTGCTTTAGTGGGACTTGGCCTTCTGTAACGTGTGTGCAATAATCTAAAATATGGGACTTTTATTTTCTTTGCCAGACAGGAGAACACAAACATATCTTCAGTCTCTGCAAAAGGTGAGTGACATTTTATTTTTATGAAAAGTTACTGAAATTGTTTTGTTAACACCTCCAAACTAATATACACTGCTACCAAACATGTTTACAACATTTTTAACAATGTAGTAGATGTGCTCTCCATGAGAACATGCATGCATTTATTATAATTTGTTTTATTAGAGATTTATCATGCAGCTTGCTAAGCTTCAGATCTCTAGTCTACAGCTTTTGCAAGCCCTCCCCTTCTAACCCAGCCAAGACTTTCTGTGGCTGTCCAATCACAGACTTCCCAATGCAGCTCAATCAGGAGTCTCCTGAGTTTAGCTCCACTGAGCTCACCAAACCTTGAAGTAACAAGACTTGTTGTCTGCTTAAAAGCCAAGGGGGTGTTACCATTTTAATTTATAAAAGTGCAAATTTCTATTAAAATATGTACTTTTTGTAAAATGAACAAAATAAGACACACTGTATCTAGCCAAAGTGCTTTAGGTGTTTGGAGTGTCCCATTAAATATTTATTCCAACCTCCATGACCTCTTATGCTCTTAGAAGTGTTCATGGTGGTAGGAATCTGCATATGCAGCGTTCCTGTTTGAAGCTCTGCACATACAGAGATATCTGCACTTTTGCTGTTACACCCGTAGCACACGTGACCTAGGCAGTCCGAGCTGCCTAATGTCAACTCTGTGCAAAATTTCATCTAACAAGCATTATAAGCTTCTACCTTTGAGCCTGCATGGGGAATATTTTCTCTTCTTCCCCTGGTGTGCTTCCTCCCTGCACCCTTCATTGACAATGATTCTTTTAAATAATTATTTTTTTATTACATTTTTTTTACAAATTCACTCCCACCCCTGCTTGCTTTCCTGGCTCAGAGGGCATGCGTGTGCTCTGAGCCTAGATTTGGTCCAGTCACATGCTATTCAAAGCAATTGATTGGAACATGGAGAGGGAAGGAATGATGCGGTGTGATGCCAGATGGAGCTAGTTACCACCTGGCTAATGCACGCCATTGCATTCATTGGTTGAGAGCGCTCAGCTGACATTCTCAGCCAATTAATGACTCGTAGGATCAGTATCCAGCCTCTGCAGAAGCCAAATGCATGCCACTGGCCATAGAGGACCCCTGGTGAGGACAGCAAAATGTTTTGCCCCAAATTGGGGCCGACTGCAGTGGTTATGATGCTTCGGGTAACCCTTAAATGTATTACCTAGATATTGCATTTCTGTGACGTGTTTGAGAGCGGGAAATTATATTTCTGAATTGTTAATAAAATGTTAGTAGCGCATATAATTATACACATGTTTTGACAAGTTCCTTACTGACTTATAGCCATGTTTATTAACCCTACCACTACCAATTTTTTGCCTTTTGGTTTCCTGTAAGAACTTTCAGAATGCCACCAAAATATGTGTGGTGGCATAACGCTCACATAAATCAAGTACAGTTATAAAGTTGTAGCCGTTCCCATAAGAGAAGTTTGTCAGATGCTTGTAGTTGGGAGTTAAGAAAGATCTTACAAAGAGCAGACACTATTATGATGTGGCTTTCAGTAAGTGTTGATTATTTTATTTTTCACAGATACCACAGACTTTCCACCTCCGCCTGTAGCACCCTCTGGGCCCGCAGCCCGCCCTCCTTGGACTACAGATCCTTCTTTTGCTGAACGTTATGCACCTGACAAAACCACTACTGTGATGACAAAGCACACCCAACCAGCAACCCCCACACCAGTTCAGAACCGTAGTTCCATCTTGCAGGCAGCACAGCCTGCCACTACAGGAGAGAAAACTCCCATCTGTTCCCAGTGCAATAAGGTCATTAGGTGAGTGTCAGATTGACCACACAACATGTAAGGAATATTCCAAGCACAAAAACCACTACAGCCAACTGTAGTGGTTACTGTGCCAGGAATGCCTTAATGCTATCCCACAGTAAAATGTCAAACTGTTTAAGCACAGTTTAATATCTTAAGTAGGTGCTGCCGGGCGCTCACACCACATTTGTCCTATTCAGTCTTCTCCAGGATGTCTCTTTAGAGCAAACCAAGACCGCAATAATTGGCTGAGAGTCTCTTGTGACGTCCTGATCTGTTTCACTGTTATATTTTTAAATTGTTTGCCTGCAGAGGGCGATATTTGCTGGCCCTGGGGCGCTACTATCACCCTGAAGAGTTTACGTGCTCGCAGTGCCACAACGTGCTTGAAGAGGGGGGGTTCTTTGAGGAAAAGGGATCCATATTTTGCCCCCGCTGCTATGATGTCAGATTCGCCCCCAACTGTGCCAAGTGCAAGAAGAAGATTACTGGGGTAAGTTTTTGATCATTCTTTTAACTTCTACCGATTCCATGCAATATATACCAGCGTAGATCTTTATCTGCTCCTCAGCATTGTGGGTCCCATGGGATACTTTATGGCATCTTCAAACATCACTAAATGTTATGGCAAAATGTAGGCTAAAATAGCTGATTTGGAAATGTTCTCCATATCGGCTGTAGCAACAGTTGATTGTTTTAGCTTAAATTTTGCAATCTGATTTTTAATTCACTACACACTAATAGTGACTCCCCCAACACCCCCCTACCTGTGTTTATTTTTCCCATTGCATTACCCAATATTTGAAATTGGATTCATCTTTCATTGTGCAGTTGCTTTTGTTAGTTTGGTCAAACTGAGTGTTTTAAATATCACATTTACATATTTATATAAAGTGCCAACTAATTATCTATTTGTAGGGGATAGCCGTCAAATGCAGAATTACAAAGAAAGGGTCATGTTTCACTTGCCAGTATATATATATACACAAAATACACAATCGAACGCACTCGCTTATGCACTAAACAATGATTTCAAATCTTAGAGATTGTAATAGTTTTATTTAACCCCTTAAAACCGGAGGACGTACAATTACGCCCTCTAATAGGCGGCTCTAAACGCCGCCGGGCGTAATTGTACGCCCTCCGGTTTTTGTTAACTTACCCGGTCGCCGGCGGTCCCACGCCGGCGATCGCGGTGGGGGGGACTCCCAGGGGGCCCCCCGCGGCACATCCGTCCTCGTTGAAGCCCCCCGGCCATGTGAGAGTGGGGTCCTAGCGAGGACCCCACAATCACATGGCCGGGTATAGCTGGCTTCTGTATTGCCGGGAGGGGGGCTGCCTGTAATGACAGGTGGTCCCCCTGCTGGCTGAAAATAAAAGTAAAATAAGTTAATGGTGTAAAAAAAAATTATTATATATACTTAGATCATATATATATATGATCTAAGTATATATATACACATATACATACACACACATACACCGTCTAGGTGTATTTTACTATTAATATATATATAATTATATATATATATATTAATATCAAATTACACGTAGACTGATACTGATTAAATATATATATATAATTATTGTTATATATATATATTTAAATATAATATAAAAAAGTTTAATATGTAAATACGTTAAAAAATTAAATTTAAAAAATAATAAAAAAAAATAATTTAAAAATATATAGATGTGTGTTATTTCGTTCTAACTGTATTGTGATATTAATATATATATATTTATATCAAAATACACGTAGAACTAAATAATATATATATCTACATACATAAATATATACGTATATATCACTATATATATACCTATATATAAATAAAAATATTTTAAAAAAATTATATAGATATATACATATATATACACATACGTGTATATATATACATATATTGATTCTACATATATATTTATGTAATATTTTTACATAATTAGGTATCTTAATTAATTACAATTAGCAGGACCTGCCTGACAACCCATGCCGAAAGTAAAGGGAATTTAATTTGCTAGCTCTATATTTAACCCTATAACTTTCCGAGACACCATAAAACCTGTGCATGGGGGGTACTGTTCTACTCGGGAGACTTCGCTGAACACAATATTAGTGTTTCAAAACAGTAAAATGTATTACAACGATAATATCGCCAGTAAAAGTGAAGTTTTTTGCATTTTTCACGCACAAACAGCATTACACGGACAATATTATTGCTGTGATACTTTTTACTGTTTTGAAACACAAATATTTGTGTTCAGCGAAGTCTCCCGAGTACAACAGTACCCTCATGTACAGGTTTTATGGTGTTTTCAAAAGTTACAGCGTCAAATATAAGGCTTGCGTTTCATTTTTTTCACATTAAAATTCGACAGATTGGTTACGGTGCCTTTGAGACCCTATGGTAGCCCAAGAATGAAAATTACCCCTATGATGGCATACCATTTGCAATAGTAGACAACCCAAGGTATTGCAAACAGGGTATGTCCAGTCTTTTTAGTAGCCACTTAGTCACAAACACTGGCCAAAATTGGCGTTTTTTGCATTTTTCACACACAAACAAATACTAACGCTAACTTTGCCAGTGTTTGTGACCAAATGGCTACTAAAAAAGACTGGACATACCCCATTTGCAATACCTTGGGTTGTCTACTATTGCAAATGGTATGCCATTATGGGTGTAAATTTCATTCCTGGGCTACTATACAGTCTCAAAGGCAACGTAACCAATCTGGCGAATTTCAATTTCAAATGTAACGTGCTATATTTGACCCTGTAACTTCCCAAAACGCCATAAAACCTGTACATAGGGGGTACTGTCTTACACGTGAGACTTTACTAAATACAAATATGTGTATTTTATTGCAGTAAAATCAAACAGTATTATGACACTGACCTTTAAAATGCAATTTAGAACTAAAAAAATCAAAAAAATCGTATTTTCTCCCATTTTTTTCATATTAAATTATGTTTCATAGCTAAATATTTGATATTAAATGAAAGCCCTGTTTCCCCTGAATAAAATGATATATAATAAGGGTGGGTGCATTTACTATGAAAGAGGTGAATTACGGTTGGACAGACATGTAGCGCAAATGCCAGGTTTTGTTTACATTTTGTTTTGTTCACAATGTGTACATTTGGCTCTGTCCTTAAGGGGTTAAAAACACCTCACCTAGGCAAAAAAATTATGGGGGTTTAGTTACATTATAAAAGCATATATTGCATAAGCCTGCCACAACATCAGTGTACCCCATTCCAGGCAGGTCCTACCCTAGCAGTCTAATGCTTGAGATATATATATATCATTTTTAGTATATTAAGAAATCTCAACATATTTTACAAGTCCAGGTCTAGGGCTATTCCTGATTAAAAGCGACACAGTTTCTAGAGTCTCCCAGAGAACAGTTACTCTCTAAAAGTGTGAGAAAGCACAGGGAAGTTTGCTAAATTGTTATTTGTCTTGTGCCAAGCTTGTGGTTTAAATATAAATATATATTTCACTTTGTGTATGCCTTCTTTCTTTATTCTGGTGGGACCCCTGCATAATTAAAGGGACTCTATAAGCACTATAACATTACATCTGTGGTTTTTTTTGTTTTGTTTTTTAAACCATTTGGCAAATATAACTCTCCCTGCACTCAGCGTTTTACATCCACGTTAGGCTTAAATAACTCACAGGCTATTGTTGCCAGGATATTGTATAGAAAAAGTGGAAGGGAAACTTCATATTGTCTCATGGGTTGTAAAGGAGCCTGGCTTTGGGTCCTGGAGAGCCCTGCATTTTTGTCAAATAGTTTTACAAAAACTGGAGGGATTGCACCCAAAGACTGTTTGCGCCATGAACACTGGAAAAAGGTATAGTGGTCATGGTGCGTAGTGTCCTTTTAAAGTGAGCGTACTTATAGAATAATAGTTAAAGGGAAACTGCAGGTCCCCTCTCCCTCCCACCACCCATCCTATGTTACCCCTTCAGTGTCTTACCAGAGGCAGCGACATATCCCACATCGCTGCTTCTCCCTCCGCCGCTGCCCCTCCTCTGCATTAAGACGGCCGGTGGGCGAGACTGATCCCGTCCACCGTCCGGGCAGACCTAATGCGCATGCGTGACAATGCCACGCATGCGCATTAGAGCTCCCCATTGAAAATGCTTTCCTATGGGGAATTGAGCGACGCTGGAGGTCCTCACACAGCGTGAGGACATCCAGCGACGCTCTAGCACAGGTTTTCTGTGCTATGAAGGAGGAAGTGCCCTCTAGTGGCTGTCTAGTAGACAGCCACTAGTTGAGGAGTTAACCCTGCAAGGTAATTATTGCAGTTTATAAAAACTGCAATAATTACACTTGCAGGGTTAAGAGTAGTGGGAGTTGGCACCCAGACCACTCCAATGGGCAGAAGTGGTCTGGGTGCCTGGAGTGTCCCTTTAATGATTCTAGAGGAACTTGTAAATTTAAATGCCATGATTGGATTTCCTAATTGCCCTGGAAACAAGGTCCTGTGAAAATTTTATTACTTTATTTCTATAATTTATTACTAGTTTTAATGTGCGTTTCTGACCTCTGAACAGCATGTGATCCTCACTTTTGTTTTCAGGAAATCATGCATGCTTTGAAGATGACCTGGCATGTTCAGTGTTTTACCTGCGCCTTCTGCAAGACTCCGATTCGTAACCGTGCCTTTTACATGGAGGAGGGGCAGCCCTACTGTGAAAAAGGTAAAAATTGAATTTCTCTTGAAAACAATTTGAAACACAAACCTAAATGTTTATTTGTAGAAAGTAAAAAAATCAATATATATATATGTAATTACATGTATTTATACAAAAATATGTGTAAAGTCTTTATTACGGTAATTGGAAAAATGTGGTCATCTGGAAAACATTTCAGACAAAAAGCTTGAAAGTCCTGATTTGCTTGACTTAATGGATGTTTTTCATGCCCAGATTACGAGAAGATGTTTGGCACTAAGTGCCGCGGCTGCGACTTTAAGATTGATGCCGGTGATCGTTTCTTGGAAGCTCTTGGATACAGCTGGCATGACACCTGCTTTGTTTGTGCGGTAAGAACTTTATTTTTCTCTTCTTTAACATGCAGTAGCTTCAGTGCAACCAGTTATTGCCCAGGAGTCATGTACTTAACCTCTTCAGTGCAATATGAAAGTTTCAAATACATCTTTTTTTGCATGTGCAACAAGAAGTCACCATGTTGTAGCTTCTTAATGGATATTTTCACCTACATAACTAATTGTTCCAACAGGAGTGAAAAGTGTAAGATCTATTAACTTCCTTAAGGCCACACAACAACTAAACAACTAAAAGCTTTAACAACAACTAAAAGCTTTAAAATTGACTTTTTTAATCCATTTAATTTACCAGGCTAATAAATGTATTAAATGTTCTATAATTACACAGCTGGAGCAAAAGATTATAAAAGAAAAACTATTTATAGAGAGAATCAAGAAAAAAAGGATGTTAAGTTAAAACAAAAAAAATGCGTTGTGTAAAACTCAAGCGCACATAAGCAGATGTACCAATATATTGGATTGGAGGATGAGAGGGGTATAGATCCATCCAAAACACTAGATTGCAGTGATCCATACTGGAACATTGCAATTGTACATACATTGAGGATGTGGAGAGGGGGATGGTTTGGAGTGTGATAGGAGTTTGAGGAGAGCGGGAATGATTGTAAGTTAGGGAGTAATAGTTGGACGTGATGTGGGATGGGATAGATGGGTGGGGGTGAGGGAAAGATTGCTGAGAATGAGGTATGAGTGGGAGAAGAAGAGCAGAGAAATATTTGTGACAGGGTAGGGTGTAATAAGAGAAGATGAAGATAGAGCTCCACCTAGAAGAGTTAGCACTATGGAGCTCTGTGCAGTGTTTAAAAACAGAATATCACCATTAGTAATGAAAGCATTGCTCCGTACTGTTGGTGGGGTTCAGGGGATGTGCCATGGAATAGTCCTCCCATGCTGCTTTTTTCGTGTTAGTTGGACCTAATGGGAAGGCAAAGTGATGTGATGTCACATTAGCCTGCATACTACAAGCTCCACTCATGAGAAGAATACCATAGTGAGCCTGCCCTTTCTTCTCCACCAGCAATGACAGTAATGTATTATGTACGGCAAATGGCAGTAATGCATTGTTTGCATGGTGCAGGTCAAATCGATTAGCAACATTCTAAATTAAAATGAGGCAGGCCAGTCAGAGAGATCTTTTCATCTCTTTGCCGGTTTGCACTCAGCCGGCTCTCCGGCTGAATTACGGTGTCTAGGTACAAACAGCACACATCAAAGATCCTACTTCAAACAGAACACAGGATGGTTAAGGCTTCATTGGCCTTGATTTTCTACAGTTCCACTAGACAAGGAATTACTGGTGTGTCTTAAGTTTTTGGATAAGATTGTTCATCTTATAAAGTTGCATAGTAATCTATGTTGAAAAAGACTAAAGTCCATTAAGATCAACCTTTAAAACCAATTCCTTTATGCTGTTTGTCCAAAGGAAGGCAAAAATACCAAATTGTAGAAAATTCCAGTTATACTACTAAAAGGGGAAAATAAAAAATCCTCCCTCACTCCATAATGGCAGTCAGATTTCTCCTTAGATCAACAACCTGTTCACATACATATTAGCTGTATCCTTGAATAGTGTGTTTTTGCAAAAAGGAAAAAAAACATCCAGGCCTTAAAAAAAACAACAACAATTCTTCAGAATTTGACACCCTCTTTAGGTAGAGAATTTCACATGGTTTGTTCTGACCCAGTATATATTCATATAGTGCTATCATATCTTAGACACCTTTTTTTTTTTCTTGTAAAACCAAATGCGATTTTTCTTGCCTTTCTTCATAACCAATGCTTTCCATCCCCTTTATTAGTGTTAAAGGACCACTGTAGGCACCCAGACCACTTCAGCTTAATGAAGTGGTCTGGGTGCCTGGTCCAGCTAGGATTAACCGATTTTTATTTTTTATTTTTATAAACATAGCAGTTTCAGAGATTGCGTGATTCTCACTGTGAAAATCACAGTGAGAGCACGCAAGCGTCCATAGGAAAGCATTGTAAATGCTTTCCTATGCGACCGGCTGAATGCGCGTGCAGCTCTTGCCGCGCGTGCGCATTTAGCCGAATGGGAGGATCGGAGGAGGAGAGCTCCCCGCCCAGCGCTGGAAAAAGGTACGTTTTTACCCCTTTCCTCTCCCCAGAGCCGGGCGGGAGGGGGACCCTGAAGGTGAGGGCACCCTCAGGGCACTATAGTGCCAGGAAAACGAGTATGTTTTCCTGGCACTATAGTGCTCCTTTAAAGATCGCCTCTGCCCTCGACAAGAGCCTATATGTTCTTAGCTGATATTCCAATGATATACAATAGCCCTGCGCCACAAGGTGGGGATTTTTTTTATGTTGTGCTTAACATGATGGACTTTCTTGTCCTCTGTATAACATTTCCAGGGCTAGTCACTTACCAACTATATGAGTAAGTTAATATTTGATCATTGGGTGTTCCTGCTTTAAGTTCAGAAAGTGTTTCTTCAACAAATTCGCTGGTCTTTCTCTAGGAAAGCAATCAGATTCATATATTTCTATGTACACCTCCGGTTCTCATTATATTCTTTTCTTCTTCTTCATTTTCTAGATCTGTCAAGTGAATCTGGAAGGCAAGACTTTTTACTCCAAGAAAGATAAACCTCTGTGCAAGACCCATGCTTTCTCCAACGTCTGAGGAGCAAAAAGACACTTCCACCTAGCCACACTCACATCATCACTCCAAAGAGTAAACATACACACCCACAAAAACGCACACCCCTTTACACACTGGGGCCGCTTCCATGAAATATGGCACACCTGAGATCCTGCTCAGCATTGGTCCGTTACATTTAGGCAGGGAATGAGGAATTGTTGCAGGAGTAGTTCTTCTGAGATAGGAATATTTAATAGCGGCAGTCCTAACCAAGCTGAAGTTTTTGTTTTGATTTGTTTTAGTTTTGTTTATTTTGTCATGTCTTAGTATTACCTTATTGGATTTAGGTTATTCCCTGGAGCTAATAAGTCCTGATGCTTTTTAGTATACAGTGCTCGGATTTAGGTTATTCCCTGGAGCTAATGAGTCCTGATGCTTTTTAGTCTACAGTGCTCGGGCTTGCAATAATACCTGACACTAGCGTTCCGTAATCTGTTACAGCTTACGTTTATAGCCAAGGCGGTTTCCAGAAAAACATTGCCTGCATTTGGGGAATTTCTCCAAATTACATCATGTCTGGTCCACACGATCAGATTAATTTAAAAAAAAAAAAAACGAATAATAAAAAAAAAAAATGCTTTCAAACGATTTTGTATAAGAAAAAGTAAAATAAAGAATAACTATTAGTGGCACCTTTTTCTAATATTTGCCAGAACAAAAAACGTTAAAGCTGTCCAGTGAGCTCTGATTTATCTACACACAAAGCCTTGCTCACTTTGCACACAAGCTATGTTTTGGGTAGGGTTTCCTTTGTATTCATTTCTGACAAAGGAAAATTCACAGAGAACAAGGCACATATAGAGGTTTAGGAAGAAGATTAGATGATCTGGGGAGTCGATCAGTTTACAGGGTGCTGAGAGTATATGAGACCCTTGCAGACGGCTTAAGTCATGCAGTTTACAGGTTTGGGATAAGATTGTGCTTTACAGTCGTATTTGTTGTGCAGTGATTGCAAATCATACATTTTCTTTGTACGTATAGTTGTATGGAGTGTTTACATTACATTCTGAGGATCATTGTTACATTGTAAATCACACCGGCTTATGAAGCAGAGGTGGTGCAGAATGGTTGTGCATGGTCTGCATACATTATATACACCATAATTCACAGCTAAGCACCTTCCTGCCATCCAACTGCAGTGATACTCAGCCTAAAAGTCATTTCTGTAAATCCGGCCTATCACACAGTACATGAGCATCTTCCTGTCTAGCTTCTTGAATACAGCATGGGGGCTGAAACCAAAACTTAGGCTGGCTGAGAATCATGAGATTTGCAGTTCATTTACAGTGGCAGCTACTACTACAGAGATAATCAGCTGTGCTGCACACCTGCCCTACATACACCTCATGCACAGCCATATTTTTGTCCGACCACTGCGTTTTAATCAGATCTTTTGATAGGGTTGGTTTATAAACTGATTAAACGATTACCATAATGCAATTTTACTGAGATCTCTATTAGTGGTGGCCACATGGTTAACTGTCTGCAATAAAAAAATAAAATGTTTGTGTGCTTGCAAATGATTTAAAAATTATGCTGTTTGAATCTTTGTAATGGATACAGTGAACTGGGTTCTGTTTATAGCCCTGTTATCTCCGAAGAGTTAAGATTTTTGGTTCTAAGCCTTTTGAATGAAATCACTACATTCCATGTAATAAAGGTTGAAAGGCTATGCATCAGAACACATTTTACATTCCGCAGAGTTTATGACAGATGCACGTTAAAGGGACACTATAGTCACCAGAACAACTACAGCTTATTGAATTTCTTCTGGTGAGTAGAATCATTACCTTCAGGCTTTGGCAGTAAACACTGTATTTTTTTAGAGAAAATTAAGTGTTTGCATTACAGCCTAGTGATACCTTCACTGGCCACTCCTCATATGGCTACTAGAGGTGCTTCCTTGGAGACACTGAGCTTTCCTCATTGATTCAACACATCTCTATGAGGAGATGCTGATTGGCCAGGGTTGTGTTTGACTTGTGCTGACTCTGCCCCTGATCTGCCTCCTTGACAGTCTCAGCTAATCCTATTGGAAAGCATTGTGATTTGCTGAGAACACCACTTCTGATGATGTCAACTAAGCAGGCAGATCAGGGGCATAGGCAGCAGTGAAATACTTGAATACAAGTAAGATTTTACTATATTTATGGAGGCAAGGGAAGGCCAGGAATAAATTTTTGTGTTCCTGACCGTATAGTATTCCTTTAAAAAGAAACCCTAAAATCGGGTCATGGTCTGAAGGGTTTGAGATGCTGGTAAGCGGCAGGTCTGAGGAAGTTGCTGAGTATAATTACCCAGTGTTAAAAATCATAAAAGCAGCCGCGCTATGTGCAACCAATTTTAGTCTAGGAAAACAATCTACAAACCGGAAGAGATACATTTAATAGTGACCTGTCTGATTTTGTACTTGTACACAGCATGTGAATGATACTTCTGTCTTAACGGAACAGCCCTGCTGAAGTAAAATGTTCAGCTCTTTGAAGTTTATATGGAGACAGTAGTTGAAACCACTTTCCAACAATATCAATACTGCTGCCCCTGACTTGCTTCCTCCAGCCACCTAATATAAAGAAGGTTTTACCAGGCATTTCTCTAAAGTGTAGGCATTGTGGCCATTACATGCCAATGTAGTGGTAATGGTGTCATTGGACTGCTGCCATTATCCCTGGTTTACCCAGAACTCACTCACCAGAATTATTAATGTGGATGTTCAATTTCCACTTTAGCGGTCTTAGTTTATTCTATATTTTAAAGTCATTGATTGGCTGAGTGCCAAATCTGTCCCTTCAATACTACGCGGAAAATGGTTATAAGATCTTGCATTACAAATAGGGTCAAAGCTTAAATAGGTGGGTTTAAAAGGGATAGTAGCAGTTTAACTTGAAATTTTATTTACAGAATACAACAGAAGCACTAAAAATATGTGTGGTTTTATAGTAATTGCATAAAATGTATGTTATCTTAAACTTTACCTGTAGACATTTAGTTCACATTTCCCATTATACATCTTCGTGGATTTCTGTTGTGCAGTGCTCAGCTTACAACTGCAGTCTGGGAGGTACCAGTGTGACTCTTCCTCACCTGATACCTTCACATCTAATGCCTCTCCTATAATCATTCTGTTTGGCCCATCCTCCTCCAAGGTGATTGACTGTTGGTTCACCTTTTTCGCAAACTGTTTTCATAATATCTGCTGCTATTCACACCATAGATGCACTGGAAGGGTGAATTACTGTTCTTTGATGTGTGGTGCTAAAACAAAGCATGGACACATAGGTGAAACAATATGGGCCAAAATGGGATAAAGTAGCACTTCTAATACAGTTCTACTCTGTTTTAAATGTGTTAACAAATACAAATAAATTTCACCTTTTGTATTGTAGTGTCCCTTTAAAGGGAATCTTATCAATTAAACGTGTATGATTTATGGTAGTTGCATGGTATAATAAAAGGAAACTGGAGGTATAAAGGAGGCGTGTGTCATGAAAGTACCAGTGATATTCCAAAAAACAAAAAAAACAAACGACTGTATTTGTTGGGTTTGGGTGAAGATTATATGTTCAGGAAACATGTTCAATGTTTTTAAGAGGGAATCGTGTATCTCATCTTTATTATTCACAAACAGGTAACAGGAACTGCACTCAATCCACAAGCCAATTAGGTGCTTCAGTAGACCATGGGACAGCACTAGTCCACCTGAATATAAATAGTTGAAGAAAGACGGTAGGTCCAGGCAATCCGCTGCATAAAGAGATACTATAGGCTCCCCAACCACTTCAGCTCTTTGAAGTGGTCTGGGTGCACTGTATCTGTTCCCTTAACCCTGCAAAGCTAATAAATGCAGTTTTTTTAGAGGGACTTCCGGGCCATCTAACTGATGCTGGATGTCCTCATGTTATGCATTGGGACTTTCAGCATCACCCAAAACTCCATAGGAAAACATTGTATAATGCTTTCTTATGGGGAAATCCTAATACAAGTGCTGCCATTGTGGAGGAGCGAGCCAGCACCGAGGCGCATCAGACTGAGTAAGTGACAGAAGGGATTTTTAATTTATTTTTTTAACTGGTGTTGTGGAAATAAGGTCTGCACATATTTCCTAGTTAGTGAAAAATGTCTATTTACTCATTTCACGATATATATATATATATATAGCTAAGCACACACGTTATAATTAAGATGGCTGCTGGAAGCTTCTAGCTCCTTCCCCCTCCCCTCCCTTTCTCCTTCCTAACATCGACTAAACGCCCACCTCTCACGGCCAGCCCCGTCGTCCCCCATGATGGCCCCTTCCACGGCTTTAGTTCCCCGTGCCCCTTCCGCCAGCACCAGTTACCCAATCATGGTGGTTGGGTCCGAGGTGTCTGCGACTTCGGACCAGCCCTATGCGATGGGTGCCTTCCCCCAAGCCTCGGGTTTCCACCCAATTACCTCTCCTATCACCCCCTTCCCAGTTGCCCCCGCTACAGCTACCCCTGAGGCTACTCTTCACCGTGGTCCAATAGTGCCCGAGGAGGTCGTTGTGGTGGACCAGAGCCCACCCCATCTGGGGGGGGAAAGGCTTCCCCAACGGCACTCGATTCCCCAGGGGTATACTCAGATCAGTCATGGTGCGGATGGTGCACCACCTATGTACGTTACTTTTAACCCTTCCCAAGCCGCTACCCTTGTAACCTCACTCCCTGATCCTGAGAAACACCCCATGCCCTTTTTCCGCAGGATGGCTCAGATCCGCAAGACATATTCCGCTGCATGGCGGGATCTTATTAGTTTATGTGAAATTAAGGCTGGAGATGCATACTGGCCAATCATGGAACGGAGCTTTAGTGATGCTCCACTTACTTCTGATACTGATTTCCGTTCTGGTGAAACTTTCTGTGAACAACTTCGCGCCTGGGCGCAGGATAAACTAGCTGACCAGGCTACTTGCATTAATGACATAATACAGGACAAACTTGAGACCGTTGAGAAGTACCACTCTAGGTTGACTCAGACATTCTCGGACTTAGGGTTCAGCACTTACAACAAGGCACACACCCAGATGCTCTCTGCAGCTTTTGTGGCAGGATTGAGAGAACATATTCATAAGGGGTTGATTTTAGCTCGCCCTGAGTATAGAATTATTCCACTAGACACCCTTTTGTTGGTAGCCAAGGGCTTAGAATCTGTTTTACAACCCACACAGCGCAGGGCTAGCCCACTGATGTACACCACCTCCACACCTATCGCTAGTTCTAATCAAGTTCCTCAGGTGTTCCCCCAACAGTATACCCAATCACCCCAGACACTGCCTGCACCAATCCCTTTCCTACGGGACCGGACCATTATGACAATCCGGACCTGTTTTAATTGTAATCAGCCAGGCCACTTTAGAAGAGATTGCCCACAGCCTAGAGTGTTCCGCCAGCCAACTCCCCGGTACCAAGGTCCCCATGTCACTGGCTACAACTACCCTTCCCCTGGTTACCTCCCCGCCCTTCCCCATCCACAATTGCCTCAGCTTCCCCCGCCACCTCCTCCTCCTCCTCCTCCTCCTCCTCCTCCTGAATACACTCAAGCTCGGCTCCCTGTATCAGAAGCTCGTGCATATCCTTCACCCTCTGCAGAAGGGTTTGATAATGATGATTTCCAAGACGGCCAGCCCCGTCATACCCTCCGCCCATCTCGCCCCCCCATGCATTCTGCTAACCCCCCTTCTACTTCCCGCCGGTACCAGGGACCAGACCAGGCCCATTTAGATTTATTACAATAGGTAACCGGCAAGCCTGTGTCAGCAACCCCTGCCATGGCAGTGTCTGCGGGGGATGGGGGAGGCCCTCTAGCTACTGTAGTTCTCCCTGTGGAGGGCCACCCCACCACTTTCTTAGTTGACACAGGTGCAGCCCGTAGTGTCCTTAGGGAACAAGACCTGCCTGACCCTTCTTTCTTGTCTGACACTGATGTTTCCTGTGTTGGGGTGGATGGTACCCCACGCAGCAACCCCCTTACTAAGCTTCTACACGTAGGTTCCCACATCCTCTCACGCTTTGTTGTTTCCTCTACCTGCCCCATTAACCTCCTAGGTGCCGATGTTCTCTCTCGGCTCCAGGCCTCCATTACCTTCACTGCAGATGGGCAGATTGAATTGACAACTCCCTTATCACAAAAGGATACCTCTGTCCTCTGTTCACTCCCTATTTTGTTAAACCTAACTGACAATACAGGGGATGCACGGGTCCCACAAACCCCCAGTGCTCTGGATCGTATCCCTCAAGAACTTTGGTCCACTGGCCCGGATGATATTGGGCGTTTACATGTGCCCCCGGTCTTAGTTCAGCTCCTGCCTGGGGCACTGCCTCCTCGCAGGCCACAGTATCCTCTGAAGCCTGCACAAGCTGAAGCCATCACCAGACAAGTTGAAAGTCTCCTTGCCAAAGGTGCCCTCATCAAGTGTTCATCTCCATGTAACACTCCACTGTTTCCTGTTAAAAAGAGAACTGTTAAAGGCCAGCCTGACCAGTACCGCATGGTGCAAGATCTCCGTGCTGTGAATGATGTGACCATCAAAGACACTGCAATTGTTCCTAACCCCCACACCCTCTTATCCCAAGTCCCATCAACTTCAACAATATTCACCGTGGTGGATCTAGCTAATGCCTTCTTCAGTGTCCCCCTTGACCCTTCCTGTCGGTTTCTGTTTGCCTTCACCCATGAAGGACAGCAATACACCTGGACTGTCATGCCTCAGGGGGCTCAAAATTCCCCCACACAGTTTGCTCACGCCATGTCACTGGTGCTGGATCCCTGGCAGAAGTCTCATTTGGATGTCGTCCTGCTTCAATATGTTGATGATCTCCTTCTCTGTGCTCCTGATTTGCTCATTGCAGAGCGTGATTCTGAAGATCTCCTATGTTTCCTTGCTGCAGCTGGTTGCAAAGCCTCAAAATCCAAGTTACAATGGTGCCGGCCCTCTGTGGTCTTCTTGGGACACTGCCTTTCCCATGGCACCAAACATCTAACCTCACAACGTGTACAAGCCATTCTGCATCTTCTACTACCTGCTAATCACCAGGCTCTCCATGCTTTTCTGGGCCTTATCACGTATTGCAGGTCCTGGATACCTGAAGCATCAAAGCTCATGCAGCCACTCTATGATACCCTCAGGAGTGAGCCCTTCCATCTCACAGAAGAAACTATCACCTGTTTCCATACTCTGAAAAGAGCTATTGCTTCTGCACCTGCCTTGGGCCTGCCCAACTACCAACTTCCCTTCCACCTGTTTGTCTCTGAAAAATCAGGACATGCTTCCGGAGTCCTCACCCAGAAACATGGATCTAGACAACGCCCTATTGGCTATTTTTCCTGCATGCTTGACCCTGTTGCAAGGGGAAGCCCCTCTTGCCTCCGAGCGGTGTTTGCCGCCAGCGCTCTCCTGGACAAGACCAATGACTTTGTTCTTGGCCATCACCTCACAGTGCTGGCCCCTCACGACATTACTGCAATCCTACAGCAAGTTCGACCTAAACACCTTTCTTCCCAACGTCACCTTCGCCTACAGACATCCTTACTCCTACCTGATAATGTGAAACTCCAGAGATGCCTTTCCCTGAACCCAGCCACTCTTCTGCCACTTCCCAAGGGGGGAATTGTGCATCACTGGTACAGCCTGGATATCAACCCAGATGTTCGAGCAGATTTACAGTTGCCTGCAGATTTACAGTTGCCTGTGTTCACACCTCCCCCTGATGAACAATCAGAGGCCCCACTCCACTGTGTCTTGTGGTTTAGGGACGAACCAAGTCCTGATGTGGACTATGAGGAAGAACTATTTCAGCTCAAAGAAATTCAAATCACCCTGACTGACTTATTTTGGGACTCTACAGGTACCATGCTCATTTTGGTTCACCTTCCAGATAATGTAGCACACTTCTACCACCATTGGGAAACAGCTATCCCACACATATCTCTCACCGAATCCCACAACACCTTATGGGAGAACCTAGGCCCGATGGCCAAAACATGGAACCAAATGACTCAAGAACAACTGACTTCTACGGGAATAAATAAAAAGACCATTAACTACTGCACAACAGGATACTCCAGGTACCACACAGAGGCCTGTGAGGACCCACCCACCATAGACTGCAACCTCATCGATATTCCCCATGACTGTTTTGAACAAATGAAAATGGAAACTACACACCTACCAACTGTTTATGAAGCCGCATTACTCAACCCGGATCAAACACTATTTGTGGATGGCTCAAGGTTTGCTGATGAACAAGGACAATACCACACTGGATATGCAGTCACCACAGGATGTCAAATATTACAAGCAGCTGCCCTACAACCAACTAAGTGTGCCCAAGAGGCCGAGTTAACAGCCTTGACTGTGGCCTGCAAACTGTCCAAAGGCCTACGTGTCAACATTTATACGGATTCAAGATATGCCCTGGGAGTGGCACACGATTTTGGCTTAATCTGGAAGACCAGAGGATTTCTTACAGCCACCGGCACCCCAGTAAAACATGGGGCAGCCATTGCAGAACTGATGGACGCATTGGAACTCCCAGCAGAAGTGGCAGTATTGAAAGTAAAAGCTCATGGAAGATTAGACACAGAAGAAGCATGTGGCAACAACCTAGCTGATCAGGCAGCCAAAGAGGCAGCACGACAAGGATGGGAAGTGGACAGAAGAGTGGCTACAGATACATTACCCATTTACACTATGCAAACATTGCCTACAGATCTCAGGCTGCTGAAGGAACAACAAGCTGCCGCCACTCCTCAGGAGAAACAAAGTTGGAAGAACAAAGGAGCAATACTCCGTGATGAAGTTTACACCATTAATCTCAAGTTCTGCTTACCTAGAAGTATGTACCCAGCGGTGGTCCAATGGGCCCATGGGCCAGCACACCTGTCAAAGCTCCTGATGAACTCACTGATTGACAAGTATTTTGAAGCACCAGGCATCACTACCTTAACACAGAATTACTGCAAATCTTGTACTATATGTGCTAAGTGCAATCCTGGAAAGGTCATAAAGACTGCACCTAATCATCTAGCCAAGCCACAATACCCCTTCCAGAGGATTCAGATTGACCACATTCAAATGCCAAAGAGCGGACGTCATGAATATGCACTGGTTATAGTGGACATGTTTTCAGGATGGCCAGAGGCCTTCCCAGTGACTAATCTCACCGCGAGGACTACAGCCAAGTACCTTTTGACAGAAATTGTTTGCCGCTACGGGGTTCCAGAAGTAATTGAAAGTGACCAAGGGACCTCCTTCACTGCCTCGCTAACACGGGAAGTCTGGTCAGCACTGGGGGTGACCCTTGCATTCCACACACCATATCACCCACAGAGTAGTGGTAAGGTAGAGCGCATGAATGGCACTTTGAAAGCCAGAATGCTTAAAATGTCACAAGAAACTAACATGCCCTGGCCCGAGAGTCTCCCACTAGCGTTATTCAGTGTAAGGTACACTCCCAGAGGAAAATACAGTTTGTCACCTTATGAGATTTTGTTTGGTACAGCACCCAGGTTAGGTTGCTACTTTCCCCAACAGCTTCAGATTCAGTCAGACGCTATGGTAGACTATGTGACTGCCCTTTCACATGCCTTGACCAAGATACATGCCCAAGTGTTTTCTTCTATTCCAGATCCTGAGTCGAATACAGGTACACACAAGCTGCTTCCGGGTGATTGGGTTATGGTTAAGAAGTTCCTCAGGAAACACACCCTAGAACCGAGATTTGATGGTCCTTATCAAGTGCTCCTGATTACAGCAACGTCAGTTAAACTAGCTGGAAAAAGTTCCTGGATACACGCTTCACATTGCAAAAAAGTGCCTGCTCCAGAAGAAGCTGATCTTGTTGAAACATGAATTTATTATGTGTCTTGTGTTTTCTTATATTGTTGCATTTTGCCTGGGCCCAACAAGTGGCCATAACCAAAGATAATCATGTTTACACTTTCTGGTACAATTCTTCTGATACTGATGTAGCTACATACACCTTTGATTACTGTGACATAGTTACCTGTACATTCCCACAGACACAACATGCAGCCATATACAAAGACATACCTAACAAAAAGGACCCATACATTTGTGTGACTGGAGGAGCTTGGGGACACCACTGTAGTTCATGGAAAGCTGCCGGGTGGAATACAGGTAGACCATGGGGCTACAGACCTCAGGTTGCACTAGACAGACTTGACAAAGACGGGAAGCCCTTACTTTCTAGAATGACTCTGAGTAAACCCACAGGGTCGACTCCCATTAAACTTACCCTGAATATAGAACACCCTAGTCCAAGGGACGCGGGGGAATATGTGATGGGGATGTACTGGAAGGGAGGTGGCTCACACAATGCACTGGGGACATTCTACCTACAAGACATGCTCACCTCCCCAGACTGGGTAGGGACCACTCACATGGTCGTTAACCCATTAAAACCACTACATGACATGGTAGCTATAGCCAACCCCACCTTTGAAGACACTATGGCAGTGGAAACTGGTTTTTCAGACACTAATTTGTGGCTAGAATGGATGAGGTATAATGCCAACTCACACAATAAGACCAATTGTTACGTGTGTGGAGGAGCCAGGCCCCATCTGGGCACTGTTCCTCTGAATTTGCCTCCTGAAGTAGAATCATGTGTTCTGAGCCTTTACACACAGTCCGTCACCAACTACTCGACATGTGAATCGTGGAAGAGAATTTACCCGATCACTCACGGACATGTAAAACCACCTGATGGAGTCACCATCTACCCAGGTAATTACACATGTTATACAATATCTAAAAACACCGGTTTGTATCTGGGCAAATTCCCATCAGGATATTGCTCAACTTACCATAATCCACCTGTATCACTGCTAATGAACCACACAAAGACAATCGGTGATATCTATTGGTTATGTGGGGATAAACAATTGAGGTCCCAATTAACTGGGCAATGGTGGGGGGAGTGTGCCCTAACTAAAGTCATAATGCCTATCCATATCATTCCAGATGGTGACCATAACACGTTAAACCTCACACATGTACACTCTAGAACCAAACGAGAGACTCCTATTCGAGGGAGTTTCGACCCCCATGTGTATATTGATGCCATAGGTGTGCCAAGGGGGGTGCCTAACGAATTCAAAGCAAGAGATGAAGTGGCTGCAGGATTTGAGTCCCTAATTCCAATGATAACTGCTAACAAAAATGTCAATTGGATTAACTACATTTACTATAATCAACAGCGTTTTGTCAACTACACTAGGGATGCCCTACAGGGCCTGGCAGAGCAATTACAAGCCACTACCCAAATGACATTTCAGAACAGAATGGCCCTAGATATGATTCTAGCTGAGAAAGGGGGTGTATGTAAAATCCTCCCTGAGACCATGACATGCTGCACATACATTCCAGACAATACGGGGCCCAATGGTAAGGTGACTATGGCCATAGAGAAGCTAGATAGTCTTGCAGACGAGCTAAAGAAAAATTCAGGAGTCATTGACACTTGGGACAGATGGTTTGGATGGATGAATGGTTGGCAAAGGACCCTCTTCCAGGTGGGGACAGCTGTTCTCATAATGATCGTCATTTTCTTATTTTTGACCTGTTGCATATTCCCCTGCATACAGAAGTATCTACAGAAAGCGGTAGACAAGACTATAGATGACGTGACCCCTACTTTCATACACCAAGACATCACAGACCTCGAAGATGATACTCCACATACACCCCTTCAATCACATCAGTTCAAACAGACAACTGCTTTCCTGTAGGGACAGTATAGGGAAAGCGTCTGTCTTAACTGGCAAGTCTCACGTGTGGAGATGTAGTGGACTAGCCACTGCGGGTTACCCGCGGAGTGAAGTGTTCGATGCTAGTTAAGGCAGATAGGTTGCAGGCAACTAGGGACATATTAGGGACAGTAGCAGTTGTTATGGTAAATAGCCATTTTAGGGGGGACTGTTGTGGAAATAAGGTCTGCACATATTTCCTAGTTAGTGAAAAATGTCTATTTACTAATTTCACGATATATATATATATAGCTAAGCACACACGTTATAATTAAGATGGCTGCTGGAAGCTTCTAGCTCCTTCCCCCTCCCCTCCCTTTCTCCTTCCTAACATCGACTAACTACCTCGTGCACCAAGATGGCGCCGGTAAACCGTGGGAGACCCTCATGGCCCCGGTGACATCACCTACAGTAGGCAGAGCATTGAAGCAACCACTTAACACCTAACCAATAATTGATGTATTATTCCATGTTATCTCTGACAATGCTTATGATGTAATTTTGCTTTAAAAGGGACTTGCCGTCCCCTCTGAATAAACTTTCCTCAAGTTATTCAACAACCTGGAACCTGTGTCTGGTGTGAATTACTTCAGGGAGCGTGCACGCATTGTTTCATTGATTTGGCCAGGGGCAGATACACAAAGAAATAATCAATACTTTAATTGATTTTTCCACTTCAACTGGCATTTATCTTTATTATTGTCATTTTGATATCACTTAAAGGTGCTTTAAATGGACACTGTATTCACCATCAGCACTTCAGTGGATTGAAGTTGTTATGGTGCCTGGAGTCTGCCTCATGCCATACCAATTCATACCAGGGATTGGGGCTGTGAAATGCTGAACATGTTTAGCTGATACTTTTAGCTTGTCACTTCCCACTACCCCCTAGTATCGACGTAAAGCAGAGCATAACAACACCTTTGCCATATTGTGACTGGGTGCCATAGTGCAGGCTTCCAGGAATTTAGCATCTCTGCTAAACGGCAAGTAAAACGTTTAACATTGACGCGGGACCTGGTGTTTGAATTCCACACAAACACATTAATCCATTGAAGTGGTTATAGCACCAACAGTGTCCCTTTAAATTGTAAGAAAGCTGGGCATGCCAGGACCTAACTGGTATTTCTTAACACATCGCGCTAATTAGCTGTCTCACATCCGATGTATTTTTCTTCATTGGTAATGTTCTGCTCTTCTAAAAAGTCTTAAAAATATACTGAAAAGTTTAATAGAAATAATAGAGGCATTTCTTTCAAAATCCCATTCTGTTGGAAGGTCACGGGTGCCTATCATCCAGCTTTATTATATCATAGCTTTTTATTACAAATCACCAAATCTTCAGGAAATCTTAATTTTAGCATTACCGTTAGCCATCACATTGGGTGTTTCGAGTTCATTAAAATGATAATGATATTATTTTCTGCATAAAAAAATGAATATGTAATATTGGATTCCTTTTTACAGCACTGCAGGAAAAGAACGCCAATGTATTCACAAAGAAGAATAGTGATAATTCGGTGTCTGTGTTATTTCAAGATAATTTAGACAGCAATTGAAAACTAACACCCATTTTACTTTGAAATAAACTGTGAATGCATTGTATACTTTCTCTCTGTAACAGGAAACCACTTATATTTATGCTCTTAAATACTTTAGATTTGCTTAATAAGTAATTATTTCAGTAACTGCAAAGAATTCAGATCAATGTCAAACATTACAATAGAGGTAAAATGCTGCAATAAAATCTCTGGATTCTTAAAACAGCCACATGTAGAAACCAATTTTTGTGTAATTTTAACTATACTTAGTTATGAAAATCATTATCGTACCTTTAAAGGGACACTCCATTGCCCAAATACAAAATGAATATCACTGTTTAGAAGATATACCCCAAATGAAAAGCATTTTTTCTAAAAATAGCTTGCAAAAGTTGCAGTTCTGCTGTTGCAATTCCTCCCCCTTTAAACCTGCCCAGACTTTGTGGCTGTACGATCACAGACTTCCCAATGCAGCTCATTGAGAAGTCTTTGCCAGGCAGGTGCTCTGGGCAATTGATCCATCTAAGTTTAGTTCCAATGAGCTAACCAACCAGGAAGTAAAAGGACCTGTTTGACAGCCAGCGAGGTGCAACCAGGTTACTTCATAAAAGTGCCAATTTCTACTGAAATCTGCACTTTTTGCAAAATGAAATAAAGATGACACACTCTTCACACTTAAAGCTTTTCATCAAGCTAAAGTGCTTTAGGGGTCTGGAGTGTCCCTTTAACAATTAAATACCATAGTAATAATATTCATACTTACAACAAGTCTCAAAACAGGAAAAGACGTATTTTTATTAATTAAACAGCTGGTATGTTTAAAATATATAAATATATTTTCATCATTATGTAGAACTTACATTTTTGTCTTGATCATGCATTAATACATTTTTAAAATCTAATTAGCAGATTGTATAAAAAGCAAATGAAGATATTTTGACCAGCTGTACTGTCATTTCTTTGTGTGTGTGTGTGTGTGTCCCAGGTCCTTGTGCATAACAAGTACATTGCATCATCTTGCCATTTAAGCAATGTTAATTAGCGGATCTCTAAAGATGACAGGTTTTGATTGGATGTTGGGAGAACATGCTGTAGAAGCATTTTTTCTGTTAGTCAGTCTCTGAAGGTTTTAACTCAGGCAAAGTAAGATTTCAGGCACCTGTAGGTCCTGAATTCAGTGGGACAGTCCTGATTATGGTTTCATAGATGTGCTTGTGGCCTTACACCAGTTATATTCAAGGCATTCAGTCCACGCTCTTCAATAGCACATGGACTGTCCTGTGTGTGTTTGACAAAATGGTCTGTCAGTCAGCCTCCCATACATGTATATCTAGCTAACATGCACCCTTTTGGAGTGAGACACCCCTTCATGGATAACCCCGTCCCCAGTCCCGCATTCTCTCCCGATCGATTCTGGCCAGTCTGTCTGGTTGTAAAGCAGAGATCTATTCTGGTCAGTCTGGTTTACTATATTTCCTTAGAAGTACAGGTGTATGAAACATATATTAAAGTCCTAGAGGCCGGCTGAACATAGTGGGAATGCCTAGGGCAGTGTTTTCCAAGGGAACACCAGTTGGGGTTCTGCCAAAAGTTTAAAAAATAAAATGCTGCGAGGGAGCAGTGATCTCCCCAGTAATGCTGGAGCCGGAATACAACGTCACTCCGGCACCACTAAGAGATGCGCGAGGGAGCTGAGCAGGGAGATCACTTTTGTGAATGTGTCACTGTGTGTATCTAAATGTGTGTGTGTGTGTGTATATATATATATATATATATATATAAACTAAACACAAAGAAAAAAGGGGGGCGACCCCCTAAGGGGTCTAGAGCGTGTAAAGGGAACTCAACCCTAGAAATAGAATACATAAAACACAAATTAATGACCAATGGACATAAAATCCAGAGGGCAAAGTTAAGTCCCTATATGAATATAATGTAATTAAAACTAAATGTATTTATATATGTTTAAAAAGGAACAGTAATTGAACCAAAAGGCCAAAAAAAAAAAAAAAAAACACGGAAAGGAAACCCAAAATAAAGGGGAGCTCATAAGCTGTAAGTAAGAAATGGGAAAGAAGGGGTTAAGGAGCAATGGAGGCTGCTTGTCAAAGAAATGATGATATAGACAATTATGAATCCTAATCGTATATGGGTTACAAGGTAGTTTACAAAGTAGCATATGAATCCTAATCGAATATAGTACCTTGTAACCTATATAAAATTAGGATTTATAATTGTCTCTATCTCATCATTACTTTAACAAGCTGCCTCCGTTGCTCCTTAACCCCTTCTAATCCAATTTTTTTAACTAAGAGCTTATGAGCTCCCCTTTGTTGTGTGTTTATAAGATTCCTTTCCTCTTTTTTTTTGGTTCAATTACTGTTCCTTTTTTAACCTATATAAATACATTTAGTTTTAATTACATTATATTCATATAAGGACTTTACTTTGTCCTCTGGATTTATGTCCATTGGTCATTTCTTTGTGTGTATATGTCAGTGTGTGTATCTGAGTGTGTCAGTGTGTATCTGTGGGTGCAAGTGTGTGTATATGTCACCGTGTGCAGGGCCGGACTGGCCCACCGGGATACTGGGAAATTTCCTGGTGGGCCATCGGTACCTGGGGCCGGGCAGGCAGCTGGCTCTTCTGGCGGCTGCAGAGGGAGCTCCTTTGGCGGCCGCAGGGGGATCTGGCTGTTCTGTCTCTGCTCCCCCTCCCCAGCGCACTGCTTAATGAGATCGGGGCCAGAATATGACGTCATATTCCGGTCCCGGTCTCATTTAGCGGTGCGCTGGGAAGCAGAGACAGAACTGCCAGCTCCCCCTGCGGCCGCCAAAGGAGCTCCCTCTGCGGCCGCCAGAAGAGCCAGCTCCCCCATGCGGCCGCCATCAGAGCTCCCCACAGGTAGAAATTGTGTGTGTCAGTGTGAGTGTATGTGTGTGTGTGTGTCTGTGTCATTTGTGTGTGTGTCATGGTGTGTGTGTCTGTCTGTCATGGTGTGTGTGTCTGTCATGGTGTGTGTCTGTCTGTGTCACGTGTGTCATTGTGTGTGTCTGTCTGTGTCACGGTGTGTGTGTGTCTGTGCCATGCAATGTGTGTCTGTCATGTAATGTGTGTCTGTCTGTGTCATGTAATGTGTGTCTGTCTGTGTCGTGGTGTCTGCATGTGTGTGTGTCTGTGTCACAGTCTGTCTGTGTTATGGTGTGTGTCTTTTTTAAGGTGTGTGTCTGTCATGGTATGTGTGTGTCTCTGTCATGGTGTGTGTGTGTCATGGTCTGTCTGTGTCATGGTGTGTGTCTGTTATGGTATGTGTGTGTGTGTTTTTTTACTCACCTTTTTTTTTTCCCCACGTCATGCTGGTCTCCCCTCGACTGGCCCTGCCTCTACGGCTGAGATCATCAAGCTTGATGATCTCAGCCAATCCACACTGACACAGGAAGCACCTCTAGTGACCGTCTGAGTGTCTGTCACTAGGAAGCAATGTAAACACTGCCTTTTCTATAAAAAGTCAGTGTTTACATTGAAAAGCCTGCAAAGACAGGCTATAGACACCAGAGCCACTACATTAAGTTGTGTGTGTGTGTGCGCGCGCCTGCTAGTGAGTGGGCTTGCTTGTGTGTGTGTGTGTGCCTGCTACTGAGTGAGCTTGTGTTTTTATGTCAATTACCTTATGTATATCAGTGAGATTGTTTGTCTATGAGGCTGTGTATCAATCATCTTGTGCCAGTGAGATGCTCTGTGTCTGCGTGGGAGTATGCTTACTGTATAATTACAAATTTTACTCTGAAATGACCAATATTTTATATTGGAAAAAGATATATATATATATCTCAATCATCTAGGGTGGCAAGACATAGCCTTACATATTACATGCGACAATATATGGCGCAATGACTTATGGGGCTGACATAGATTTTTTTTTTCCAGGGCTGCTGTCGAATCCCCAGTCCGGCCCTGACCGTGTGTATCTGAGTGTGTGTCAGTGTGTGTGTGGCAGATACACATACACACTGACACAGAGATACACACACTGGCGCATACAAACACAGATATGCGCACCTTGACTCACACCAGCACATACAAACACAGATACACACACTTTGAAACATAGATATACACATCTTGACACACAGCTACACACACACACATACACAGATACACACTGTGTGTCAAGGTGTGTATCTGTGTCAGTGTGTGTATCGGTGTGCCACTATCTGTGTCATATTCATACACACTGGCACATACAAACACAGATACACACACCGTGATACACTGTCACATACAAACACAGATAGATAGATACATACATACACACACAGATACACACTGTGTGTCAAGGTGTGTGTAAATGTGTGCCAGTATGTGCCAGTGTGTGTGTATCTGTGTATCAGATATATACACACACACACACACAGATACATACAAGCACATATATACACACCGGCACATACAAAAAAACAGCACAAATATAATTAATTGGGAACCCCTGTTCTAGGGCAATAGCAAATAATCATTTGGGCAGGTTACTCAGCATCACTAATGACCAGTTTTCTACAAACGTTTCCCATGGTGCTCAGCAAGATGTTGATAAGTAAAAAGTCAAAGAGCAAAACAAGTGTATTGGAATGATTAATCAATGTCAATGACTCTAAGCTTGACCCTGGCATGTTGGTGTTGAGTTGCGAAAAATTAAACTCGGACAATATATGATTTTAAAACATTTGTTAAACCTGAAATGACAAATAAAACTACTCTTACTCTAGTCGGGAAAAAAATCTTGCTGGTGTGGGTGTCTTAATTGTTAAGTCATTTAGGAAACAGATAGAATCAGCTGTGTGAATTATAATTGTAGACATTACTATGCCCCTACCAGATGTTCTGTCTCACAATGGGTGGAGCAAGAATGCAGAAGCAGCTATTTTATAAATATAAACTACTGCAAAAAAATACAATACAGAAAATTAACTAGCACTGGTTTTGTAGATTAGAATGTGATACTTCAATGGGGTGAGGATGGATAAACACTTCCTAGCAGGTGGAGAAACGTCCCTGGACACCGGCGCCTTTCTGGAATTCATGGAAATGGATAGAGCTAGCACCCGTGCAGCATCCCCATCTGAGGAGGAGTTACAGCGGAGGCTACAAGCAGCTCTGTCCCAGTACGATGGCCCTTTCTTAACAAAGGGTGAACTGGACCGATCCGTCGGGATCTCTGGAACAATGCTCTTGAGGAGGTTTGTTGTCTCCGGGGAGAATCCCTCCCAACCATTATGCAACGATTTTGGGATCAAGTTGATTTGCGGATGCAATTCTTGGGAGAGCAGCCCCTGGCGGAATGGGTGTTTAAATTAGTACAGAAAGAATTGTGGCTGGATGATTCTTATCGGGCCTTAAAGGATCACTATAGTGCTAGGAAAACATACTCGTTTTCCTGGCACTATAGTGCCCTGAGGGTGCCCCTACCTTCAGGGTCCCCCTCCCGCTGGGCTCTGGCCCCAACTTGCAGCAACTTGCAGCAAAGCCTTTCGGTGATGGTGGAACTTGAGGAGTACACCACCACCCCAGCTGAAGCGCTGGCATTGAGTCAGAGCGCTGCTGGCCTCTGTGCCCAACTTGCAATGACGCTGGAGCTGAAGAGCAGGGAGATCAACCTCTAGTGAAGGTGGATTTCAAGGAGTGCGAAACTCCCCCAGCTAGAGCGCTGGCAGAGCTCCACTTGCCTCTGACCAAACCCACTGGTAACCCATGAGCCTCAGGCATCAGACACTGCTGGTCCCACGGAAGAGCGGATCCCAGAGCAAAGCATGGCTAACCTCAGCCCTTTGCCACAAGCACTGGGGGATCTCTATCCAATACAAATGGATGGGACTCTGGTCTCTACCTGTAGTCCCCAGGAAGGCTGGACAATGAGCTCCGATCCCCAACCCCATGTCAGAGGGGGCCCAGCCACCCTGCCTTCCCTCCAGTGGCTAAGAGAGATCCGGGGAGACAGGACAGTGGGCACGCATCGCCAGGTATATGCTTCAGTAGATGCAGAGATCGGCTGAGTAAGTGCTGCTCTTCCATGGGCAATTTGTTTGGGGTACCATTTTGGTGATCGCCTTGATGATCTGGATGTAGTCACTAACTTCAGAGTCAACTCGTCTGGGGTCTCCTGTATTAGTCTCCTTCTGAAGGGGGAGAAATATGCTGGAAACTGTTCTGAGCTGGAGATACAGGGTTCCAGAATTGCTATTGGGGTCACAGTGGCCCCCTAAAAGTGGAGTCATATGGGGATAGGTTTGAGTTTGGGAAGGGGGCCATGGCAGATTCACTGGGAACTCCCTTTCTCCACTTCCAAGTCCCCTCTTATGTCTAAGTCACCCTGTGCTTATTAGAGGCACAGGGTGACTGAGAAGCCCAGTCTGGCCTGCCCAAACCAGACTTCCACAGACTGATCGGCTATGAGGGCTCCATGCTCCCGATCGGGACAAACTTACAAACTATGTGGAACTTTGTCGAGAAGGCTGCCAGGATGGATAGACTTTTTGGGACTTATTACCCGACTAACTCAGGCACAGACCGATTGGAGGTCTGGTACCTGGTTAGTCTACCTTTGGGGGGGAAGATATGTGACGGTAGTCACCATCACTGGGGATGGAGAACAGACACTATGGGTGGGCTCCCAAATTCCTTTTGTGTTTTGTCACATTGTGCCTATTATTTGTGCAGGGTATGTTGAATAAATTGCTGGTTTGTGCATCTCCCTCTCCCCCCTTTTTCCTGTCCTATTGTTTCCCCAGCAGGGCGTTCTCCCAGGGACACTGCCAGACCAGTTTAAACTAGCTGTTCTGTCCCTGCTATATCAGCCCATGCTATTGTCTGACCCCACCCTTCCTTGTACTATAGAAATCTATGTAACCTATTGTATGTAAATGAGGCTGTTGGGGGCTTAAACTATGTGTGCTGTATTCATTAAAGAGTTGCTGTTTAACCTTCACCATGTGTCGTCTGGTGTTTGGTCCAGGGTGGAAAAGGCCCTAAGTGATCCCAGTTAAGCCTCGGCGTCTGGGTCGGAAGTGTTTCAGGGTCCCTGATAGCTACAAGGAAGCAGACTTGGCGGAGGTACTCGGTTGGAGTACTGGAGCTCCGTTACATATACCTACTGAAACATCTGATCAAGCCTGGGAATGCTTCCCACGCCTGGTAAGCCTTCACCAGACGGTAAGCAACCGAGGCCTGGTAGGCGCGGTCATAGGCGGACGATCTTCTGCAGCTATGCAGACAGCTGGCGCCCTGTTACCCCCTCCCTTTGGACCTGGAGGAGTGATCCCGTAGTCCCCACCTTGGCAGCAGCCCATCACAACAGTGCTGCAGATCTTGACAAACCCAACCGTTGTACATCCTGTTCTAATGTGTTTTATACCCGCTCCTATAGACTGTAAGCTCATTTGAGCAGGGTCCTCTTCAACCTATGGTTCCTGTAAGTTTTCTAGTAATTGTCCTATTTATAGTTACATCCCCCCTCTCATAATATTGTAAAGCGCTACGGAATTTGTTGGCGCGATATAAATTATAATAATAATCTAAGATGGCAGAACGTAGAAAGGTGCTTGACAATGCACAGAGGCTGGATGCACTGTTTGAAGCCTTCTGGAGGAGGGTAATGGGAAGGAGAACCTCACCGGTTCCTGAGGCTGTTATACCTCAGGACCACCCAGTGGTGGATCCAGGGGGGGTGCAACGGGGAAATCTCCCCCCCCCCAAGATTCTCCCCTGCCGGCTAATGAGGGCTGGCATTGTCCAAGTGCCAGCCCTACAATGTGCCTTCGCGGACCGGGACCGGAGGGGAGATCAGAGATCTCCCTCCCCGGTCCACAGGCACTGTGATCGCAGCTGGCAGGGGAGGGAGGGAGAGCAGACCCGGGAGCTCTTACCTGCAGCTCCTCTGGGTCCTCCTCTCGCGAGCATGGAGCATTGCAGCGGTTACCACGGCAACGCTCCAAATCTCGCGAGAGTGAACGCTAGCCCTGGAGTACGGGCTAGAGTTCACCTCACCACCACTGGGACCACCAGGGATCCAGAAATGTCCTCCCTCCTCCCAGTAAAGGTAAGAAGGGAGGGGGGATATAAAGAATATTTGTTTAAATTAAATTTTTAAAAAAACATATAAGAAGGGTTATAATATGTGTTGGCTTTTTTTAAATTTAATTATTATGTATGTCTGTATGGGGACAGTGTGTGTGTGTGGAGGGGGGGAGCAATGTGTGTGATAAGAAGGGTAGGGGGCTTTTTTTTATAATTACACACACACACATTGTGTCCCCCCCCCACACACACACACTGCCCCCATACACACACACTGCCCCCCATACACACACACACTGCTCCTCATACACACACACTGCCCTCCATACACACACACTGCCCACCATTACACACACTGCCCCCAGACCCTTTGTACAGCACTACAGAATCTGATGGCGCTTTATAAATAATAATAATAATACACACACACTGCCCTACACATACACTGCCCCCCCACACTCACACACACACTGCAAATGTCACACACAAATACTGACCCACACATACACTGCCCCCCTAACACACACACATTGCACCCCTGACATATACTGCCGCCCTCACTCACACACTCCAACCTTCACACACACACACTGCCCCCTCACACACACACTGCACCCCTTGCACATTGCACCACTCACACACACCACTGCTTCTATGCCCTACTACAGCCCCATTTCCCAGCAGACCTCAGGTAAGTTCTTAAACAGTTTGACTACTTACTCTGGGAGAGGGTCCCGGCACTATGGACACCATAACCACTACACTGATCTGTAGTGGTTATGGTGTCTGGATTATTTCTTTAAATAATCTACAAGTGCCCCTCCCGAGATCAGGCTCTGGATCCGCCACTGGGACCACCTCACAGCACTCAATGCCGCACAGCATGCCCGAGGCAGAAAAGAACATACTGATGCACCGCAAAGAAGGTAGGTGGCAGATCAGCCTCGGCACTAAGCACTCCTAAGATCAGCATGAGGTGTGCGAGGAGGGAAGCAGGACAGAGAGGACAGTAGCTCATTGCAGGAAATCTACAGCTGATGCTATTGGCACTGGACCAGATGCCTGGAGATCTCAGCTGGCACCGCATCGTACCCATGACGGTAGAAGGCTGACTGCATGGCTGAGATTCTTAGTATTATGTGAATACACTGCTTATAGATCTCTGTAGCTAACAATCCACCATTATTGCCTGTTTATTAATATCCTCTAGTTAAGGAAATCAGACTGTGTTGTAACCCAGGATCAGCCTGGGGTGGTATACTCTCTTAAAGTTTCATGTAGATCTAGCCTGACTATTTCATCGTTTTGTTTTTTCCATGTATTCCCAGCTTGTTTATATAAGTCTACTCATGCATACCTCACTCAACTATCTTCATATAAAAATATTGTGCTGTTTCTCTCAAATGCCATGACATCTATTGTTTTCATCAAGCTTGCTTTTCCTGTTGTGGGACAGCAAGATTGTCTGTAAACTCATGCACAGCAAAAATAAAGAATAATAATTAAAAAAAAAGATAGATCTCAGATTATATATAAAAGAAACCATGTGTGTTTTTAAAAAAAAACCCAACAGATTATACAAATAAAGGTACGCAAAACGGGACACATGGCTTGACTGCTCTACTGGATGGATGCACTACAAGACGACTCCACTAAATATTGTCTTCATAGGCTAACAATCATTGTTTTGGCAATAACCCTAAAATATTGTGAAAGTTATGATGAGAATTTAATAAAGGTGTGTACTATATATTTCCAACAGAAAAAACTGGTGTCTGTGTTTAATAAAGGAAGTTGGGGATGGGTTGTGGCACATGTCGAATAACGACTGTGCACATGTCATGATGCTTTGCCAGCATTATGGCTGTAAGAGCATTATGGCAGATGTAGCCCACTACATCTGACGTGCTGAAGGTTGCCTACCCCTATCCCAAGTAATTTGGATGAAGCTCCGTCTTGTTCATTTTGTTTATCACTTTTACAACTACTATACTTGGCTCTGGCATCTGATGTACCTTTGGTGAACCCCAACATTTGACTGGTTCCCTGGACTTTATTAGTTATTGTAGAATGCATTTGGCTTCCTCTGACTACTCTTAACACACACTTCTTAATTAAAGAGCCACTCACCACATTAAAGTGTCTCCTGCAGCTATAACTAGCAGTTGCCAGCCTACACTGTGATTAACAATTTACCTCTGCCTGTTAGCACTTCCATCTGCAAAGTCTGTTATAACACTGTGGCCACCTTGAATCTCCAGCAAGAGACTAACACATGTTATGGAGGCAACAACTTGCATCTTGGGCATTGACCCTTCTTTGAACCTATAGATCCTGAGAACAGCCTACTCATTTATGCAAGTTAGCTAGATACTTCAAATGGTCTGTACCCTTGGCTCATTAAATCTGCATTTTGGGTACCGGAATAATAGGAATAACTTTAGGCTAAAGATCGGGCATATCATGGAAAAAATGGTGTATGTACTAAGTGGGGAATCGCGATGCAATGCAGCCTAGAACATAAACTAACCCCATTCAGCCCCCCAATAACGACAGACCACTTAGTATGGATGAAACAGGCCACAGCATT